TCAGATTCAGATGCACACGGCAAACATTTATTCAGACCAATTTCATAACACTCCTATATCTCTATCCTTATTTAAGAACCAATGAAAGAGTACACCTTTGATAATACCTGGCTTTTCCGCTAAGTGCAGCCATTTCCCTGACTTTCTGCACTGAAAGACAAGCTCTAGGGATCAACTAACAATGATCATAACACAAAACAAACAAGTAAACAAATTGGGAATTTCACTTCAGAACAGATTTTTGTCTACAGGTAGACAGACTTCTCAATTCTCAAGAAAGCACACTAATAGCACAAATATATCAACACTCTGGGACAAGGAATGCAACTGGACAGATGAATTTGTATATGTACTATTGTCTGGGACTGCAAGTACTATTGCAGTTAAGAGTTCCTTTAAAAGAAAATAGACATGAAAATTAGTACTGAATTTGGTGATGTATGTCAAAAATCTAAAGATCCAATTAGGATGCCGAAAGGGGAAAAGTTGATGGGTCTTAGCATTATGGTGCATAATCTACCAGCCACTGAGATATTTCATGCATGAATAGCGGTCTCATTATTTTCTCCTTTCACATTTTTTAGATTAAGTTTTTAGCCCTTACGGTTGCAAAAAAACTTCCAACAACAGATTTTTGTTGTTGAATGACTATGTTCAGTTATGTGACGTCTGTCAGATGAGATATGGGAAACGAGGTGTGGTACTTCACCTAAACTCTGCGCACATTCCCAGCATATCTGACTGTTTCTGCTACAATGATCAGCAGTGAAATAGTTAATTCTGACATTTAAATAACCACAAAGCCTCAGAAGTGACACTCCACTGGGATGAACCGGGGAGTTTTTACTACTCAGTCATTTCTGGTCTATCTACAGACTCTGTCTGCAGTTTCAATAAGGTAACACTGCCCCAGTCCAGTTTCTGCAGTTTAGAAAGGCAAGCCATATGAAAACAAAGACTGTATGCAAATAAACCAATAAGCCTACATGGTATCTATGTGAAGTAATGATGCCAGTATATGAATTACTGCACAGAAAAAAAGCACACGTCCAGAAATAAATTTAGGAATGTCTCAGACTCAACAAATCATTAAAACATTCAAAAAGTCAATTCGACCAATGTATAAAACCAAAGCATGTTATTCCCCTTCCTGACCCATTGACAACCAAGAGTGAAATCCTGCCCCATTGAAGTCAATGGCATAGGATTTCATCCCAAATCTCCACACCCGCATCTTCCGAAGCAATCATGTCCTCTTGAAATCTCCAGCAAGAAGATATCATGTATATTGCTATAATATTTGGGGAAATTCAAAAAAAACCCAACTTCATTGTATCCCTATTTTATGATTTGTCTCCAATTTTACATTTGCTTCCATTTTCCCATCTGTTTTCCAACCTGTTTTCCCTCCAATTAACTCTTTCACCCCTTCACCATCTAGGTCTCTCCCCTCTTATCTAATCCTTGGCTGGGCCCAGGTTATACCTTGTAAGAAGTCATCTTAAACTCATTGGTAAAGAGAAGAGGATTTTGTCCTGTAAACCACTGTCTTAGTATAATATTGTTCCTCTTGTGAAACTGAGCAAATGTTGCAAAATTAAACATATTAAAAAAAAAAATCCTGTCTGGAGAAAGGCAAGGGAGAAGTGTGGAATAACACTCTGATGAGTTTAGGGATGGCTGCATGAGGTAGCTCCCAAGCAACAGAGCAAGTCTTAGCTGTAGGTCATCCCAAATGAATGAAGATTAAAAGCTGTGTTCTGCTCCCCACATGTACCACCGCCAAAAAATCTTAAAAAATCCACTTCAAGACGCGATTACTTTGTTTTTTAAAGGCTATCTCCTGCTAGTAACAGCAGTGAAAATAACATCCTGACAGTGACAATAGAATATCATTTTCACAATCCTATTATTTTCACTCTTTAAAGAAAGTGATGTTTTTATTGGATGCTTATTTCCACTTAAGTAAAACTCAGACCCTGTTTTCATTTGTGGTATTGAGGCTTGGGTTTGGTGTCATCAGAAGCTTAGCAACTATTTACAATAGCAGCTGTTGCCTTATTTATGTAAAGGGAGCATTCACCACTACAATAAGCACCCCCCTCAAAATCTAAATTAAGTTGGTGTTTTCCAAGAAAGTTGTCCTTAGAAGAAATATACAATAGACCTATTTCCCACAAAAGTTTATTATAGCTTGCCGAATACACATGTATTCTCTTAAAAGACTTCTTTTCAGGAAATATTCTAGTTTTGGGTTTCATGTTTGTTACCAACAGCTTTCATATGTAATGGCTACAGAGCAGTGGCTGGTGCTGTACAGTAGCTAAGCTTCCCAACACATTGGATTGAGTTTTAAATACAACATCCAAGATCCTTAATAGAATATGAGAAGGCTTTAACTAGAATAACTGAGAGAGGGTAAGTCTGTAAAGAGATCTGCAAATCTATTCCTCAGTTTTTATCTCCCATCCCCTTACACCTCTCACAAGCAGATGTTCTCTCCACAACTTTCCTTTTCTAATCTTTTCATTCTATTCACTTCTGAAATAGATTTTTATTAGGAGCATTTAACCTTCTTACTAAAATTTACTGCATGTCTTTTTATCGCATCTGGAAAGAAAAACTTTAGAAAACCTATACAAACAGATGTTGAAAGCAATATGAAGAGACAATGCCATATCATATATTCCGTATGTATGAAATATTTTAACGTTTTAAATAACATTTGCCACAGCACTGTACATTTCAGATAATTTTAGTTGTGCAGCACTCTTCTCCCCTAGTTAGCATTATTTACTTGCAGTCTAAATAGACTTACACAATCTCTTATTTCCTTCCCCAGTAGTTTAGTCCCAAATACTCTAATCTGGCTTCTTATGGCTCATCTAGTGAGGAATTTTATTACTAATAAAAAGTTACTGAAATCCTTGTTGAGGGCTAAAGAACAGAGTTCTGACAAACTCTGTTTATACTGATTATGGCCTAACTGTCAAAGGTAGTTCCCATAGATACTCATTTATAACCAATACTTCACCTATGGTCTTTGTATTTGTTTACACCCTGTCTTTTCCTTTTTGAGACTCAAAAATAATTTTTAAAAATTACAAATGATATATAGAGTGTAATTTGATTTTAGAAAGACCCTTTCACAGTCCAGCTGTCCCTAAGTGCTTTATAAGGTGTGCATGCAGTGTAGTTGTAGCCGTGTCAGTCACAATATATTGGAGACAAGGTAGGTGACGTAGTATCTTTTATTGGACCAGCTTCTACTGGTGAGAGAGACCAGCTTTCGAGCAACACAGAACTCTGCGTGACCTGAAGAAGTGTGTGGCTGGAAAGCTTGTCTCCAACCAACAGAAGCTGGTCCAATAAAAGATATTACCTCATAAGACCATGTTAGATACTGTTACAGCCACGGGTAGGCTACAATAGCTCACCTATAGCAAATGGTTTTACATTAAGAGGAGGAATGTAGGCCCAGGATACTGGAATGAACACGTTATTTTCAAACAGTGGCCACTGAATGTATAGGTCTAACACATTCTGCTACAAGATCCCTGAATAAATGACCATACTGGAGTTCCTGTACAAGAATGTGTCAGATGCAATATGCCTTAACGATGAAAAAGCATGATGTAAGAAGTGCTAATGATAATACTAACTAGCTCTCATATTGCACTTTTCATCAGTAGATCTTAAAAAAAAAGAGTTTTACCATGGAAGTCAGTCTGATTATCTCCCATTTTCCAGATGGGGGAAACTGAGGTACAGGGGTGACCCAGCAGGCCAGTGGCAGAGCCAGGAATAGAAGCTAGGTTTACTGAGTCCCAGTCAAGCACTATCTACTAGGCCACACTACTAAAGAGGTTTTAAGCCAGTGAAATGACTCTCTGCAATCATAATTTGCTGAGTAACAAGTAATAATATAAATCTACCTCATCCTTTATATTAGCACCACCGTCTCGCAGGCTGTGTCTACGCTAGCAATTTTCTGAAGTTTTCCCCTCTTGCCATAGCATGAATGCAGCTTCAGCAAGTGGTGACAACAGGAGGAGTGCTAATGTTGCCACTGTTTTAATCACTGTGCCCTCTAACCCTTTTCACAGTAGGTTCCAATGACATGGTGGTTAAAACACTAGTAGTCTGTCTACATAGCACTCCTTCCGTTCCACGAGTGGAGATATGATAGGAAATTTTGTAGAAAAAATGTTAAGTCTGCTATACATGGCCTTGCCTATTGAAGCAGGAAATCTGGCAGGTATTTTTACCCTAACAAAGATATAAGGCTTAATTTCACAAATTTTATCCACAATTCTTGCCCCATTGGATAATGAAGCATCAAAAGCCTCCCAACCATGAACAATTCTAAAAATGAAAAGTTTTCCAAGGGATAAAAATCCCTCCTGGAGGATCAAGTTCAAGAATTATCAAAACAGGATATACTCCACAGAACACATGTTTGCGCATCCTTGCTGTGCTTCATCATGGAATTTGCACTTCCTAATTCAATTAATTTTCTGAAGTGCTGTTATTTTCATCTATTTTTTTTTTAAATAAGCAAATATGCTGCACACAAACTAGCTGAAACTTGCAAATAGGTAATTGTGGATGTGAACACATTATGGGCACAAACTGTCAAACTCTGTGTACCGTTGCATATTTGCACAGACATTTAGCCCACAGTGTAGGTGATACTGTCTGTTTGAAAGGGATCATGGCCAGGATATCCCTACACCCTTGTGACCCCTGGTTGCCAGAGCAGCCCCTTGAGGGCCATCAGCAGCTGGCTTATGTTAGAGCAGTTTGAGGGCTGCTCTAATATTCAGCCATATACCAGACCATCCCAAATCAACCTCTACACCTGGAGGATGCAAATGTGTACTGAAGCCACCTTTGTCCCCCACCTGTTTTGGTACAGGTTGGATGTATAGAAGGAACCACAGAGTTTTCAAGATTAGAAACAAACAAAACTCCACACAAAAAAACACGCAGAAAGGAAACCATTTTAAAATGTCAGTTTATTTACATGACAGAGGGTTTATGCTACCTGAAAAGTTGTTCCAACAGGAACCCAGCAATTAGTACATTCACCTGCTTGTCTTCAAAACTCAGGAAAAAAGGGACGATTTAAGATTTGATGATGTGACTTCAGAACATTCCGATGATCATTTGTTAAGAAAGTGCCACACATCAACTAAAACAAAAATACACGTCAAGAATGGTATTAATTCTACATGGACAACCAGATGCAAACTCTTGGATATGCAATACTCTACACTTTCAGCTTCTTTCCTATTCTCCCCTCCCAAACATATACAGCTCCTTGAACCATATCAGCAATCCATGAAAAGAGTGCCCCCGAAGTAAACATATTTTATTTTGTGATACAACTTGGCTGAAAATTAAATCCTGCAACAGTGTACAGCCCTGATGTATTGCACACATCAACGATGAGGCAGACTGTGGTCAGTTCTGTCAGAGGCTTGAGATGGAATATTTTAGTAAATAAATGCTATTTATTGGCATACCATATAAGGGCAAAAGGAATGCAGCTTGCTTTCCCATGAAATTGATTACACAGATGTTATTTTGTGAAGAATTTGGAACTAGACTCAAGATTTTAAGTTCCTTGTTGTCTTTCCCTTCTGCCCTCCAATTTGTAGTAGTGTATGTTCCTTTCTTGTACAGTGCTTTTGGCATTAAAAAGTCAACAGCTTTTTTTTTTTTTTTTAAGTAAACAAAGCATATTGAACACACTTAGTTCGGACTCCTGTACCTCAACTAAAACTATCATTTTTGTTAACTTGAAAACCAGTTCCACAAGAATGGGAAAGGCAATTTTGCTTTAATTAACACTGAAAAAGTAAATTTGGCCTAGTTTTGGTGGATAGTTTCTTCTGTTTCATTTTTAAAGTTACCACAAGGAAGAAATAAAAGCAAGAAAAGCAACATTTCTTAAAAGGATAAATATGGCCCTCCATAATTTCTGAAACAGAAAAATATTACTATGATTGCTCATCTAATTCTAGACTGACATGGGCTAAGACTACAATACCCTTATAGACACAGAGCAGGTATTAGTACTTTATGCCACTTGACTAGTAGTCCCTTTGACTTCAGTAGAACTACTCATTGTCTAAGGTACTATTCAAGAGAAGTGAGGGCAGTATAATCTGGCCCTATATAAGCATTTTTATCAGTTCTCATGCTTAGTATGTTTAGTTCACAAAAGCTTTTTCAACTGATCTATTTTTAAATCATTTTTTCCCCGATCAAATTAAACAAAAATACATGTTGTCATTTGGAGTAACAATAAACTGTACCTTCTGCAGAAACAGAGTCTCCTCTCGCAGGTGGTGGTGTCTACAGAAAAAAACCCACAATATTAGTAACACTCCATATGTAGAGTGTCCAAACTCTAGGTTATCTTACTGTGAAAGTCAACAGTTATTTGCACAAAAGAAACATACCACTGGCACCGTAAGACAATACTCCTCCCTCTCACACCTCCATTCTTCTTACTACCTGTAATCTGTCTTACTCAAACGCAGGCACAGACCTACCAGTAGCAGAATAAAGATGATTTACTCTTGTAGAATAAAGAGGATTTTTTGATTTGCAAAACAACAAAGATGAAAACATCTTTGCAACAAGGTTACTATATGATTAAGTTTCTTAGTAAATTTACAATTACATCTTTCCACAACTATGTTTTTTGGGGGGGAAACAATCTCTATAACAGGAAAGTCAAACTCATTCTGTAGAAGGAATACATTCTATATTTAACTGTGGTCCATGGGGCTTTGTATAACTTTAAAGCTACATATATCCTCCAGCCCACATTGGATCTCCCATTTACATTGGTTTCACAAAGATCAGTGCTAGGAAATATAGCTTAGTGCAAATAAACTTGGTTGTTAATTTTATTTGTCCACCTATTGTCACATCTAGCATCACTCAGTGAGACAATATTTTCACGTTTAGGACCAGTATTATTTCTGTCCTTAGTCTCACTTCCTTTCCCATCCTCCTATTTCTCTCCTCGCTTCTATTTCCTACCCTCTGAAATTCCTTCTCTCCAGCAAATCTCAATTCCATGTTGGCTTCACTCCTATCCCATCTGCTAAAATTATCAGCAATTAAATACTTAATACTGACATTTAAAGTATCAGCATCTGGCTATAGAGTTAATACCCCATTAGATTAATAGGGAAGGGGAAGGGAGTTCACCACGCTTAGTGCTCTTCCCTGGGTTTTAGCCATAACCCTCCTACTGTCCACATGCATCATTATCAACATTACAGAAAATATACCAGGTTGTTATTTTGTTTGGTTGGGGTTTTTAAGTTCTGAGGGGAAGACTGCCCCCTTACTCTCTCTTTTAAAAGATACTTTTGCCTGTAAAGCATTCCTACCAAAGTTATTTTATCAAAGATACCCCTCTCAGAAAAGCCCTTCTACCACATTTTCTTTCCAGTTTTATAAGGGAAGAATAATGTGATAAGTCTGAGAAAAACTGTTCAAGCTATTTATAGTTTATCTTGGAGGTTTTCCAATTTTATAAGCAGCTTCCTTGTAGAGTGAGTGAGCAAACAGTTCTTGGGATTAATGTTAAACAAAGGCTTGGCTGCCCAGGTCAGTTTTATAGATGGCAACACTTATTGTAAAGTAAATGGTAAATTTTAACATTGACATATCTAGCTTCATGTTTTATTGTTCCAGCACCTAATTTTCAGTGTGCACTAACATTGGTGCTGAGAAAAAGATAGCACAAGAGATCAGAAAACACCAGAAACTTTCACCATCTACAGACAGTTATAAACTCTGGTGTGTGTCTGGCTACAGAATGCCAGGGTAATTTGGGGTATTTCAAATGCTCATACCTACTGCTGTCATACACAGACTACCTTTTCTGATCTCTCTGATTGTGCCAATTTTACTTGGGGGTAACTCTATCAGCTGCAGTGGAACGCTCCTGACTTTCACTAACGTCAGAGCACGGTTAGGCCAACTGTCCTGAAACTCAACTGGCAGAGAAGAGTAAAGTGAGACAAGGAGGAAAGATCAACAAAGTAACACACACTTGAGAGACAGAGAATGCACAAACACACACTCTTACAAGGCAGTCAACGCTGGATACTTAAAAAGAAGGCAGAAACAGAGCAGAAATTAATTCTCAATACTGACAAGTCATTTGAGTCTCAAATATAATGCCTGTAAAATCATAAAGGGTCAGATGCTAACACTCTAAATCATGTTGAAGTCAACAGGTCTACCCATGGAGTAAGGTGTCACCCAACAACAAGGGTATCAGAATCTGGCCCATCTATAATTATATATGTAGAAGCAGTGCAATAAAGACTTCTTTATCATTTGCTTTTTACTTTGTTCTTAGGCATGGAAATTCTAGGCATTCTACTCTCCGTAAAAATGCAAGAGTTATAGCAACAGAGTATGCCTTTTATTTTTGCAGTTAATATATCTCATGAAAGTAAAAGGTATATATCACCCATCCAATACGAAAATCTTCTCTCTGTAAAATGGGTTAGAAACAAGCATGGCAGCTGTTCCAAAGAGTGCAGGTGACTCAGGAATATGGAAATATGTTTCCAATTATACTTGTAAGTCAACACAACAATAGCTTTGATTTCTCTTGCTCTTATCCATAAGCCAATGAAAGAAAGTAAAAGTAGAATTTTTTTTTTTTTTTAAATTTCCAGGTACATGTGAAAAACCCACAGCCATTAAGATTCTGCAGGTGATCTCTGTATACTGTCAGTTGAGCTTGCAAGAGCTGAATGTCTGACAACTGAATCTGGCAATGCAAGACTGTGGAAAAGACACCTGTTTAAAATTTAATATCTAGAATTTGACGTTTTGCTCTCAAGGGAATGTTAAAGGCTGCACTGTTTCCACTTCAGGTTACTTTTGATTGGAAATTACATACATTAAAAATACCAATTAAAACATATTGTGCATTTTACTCAAGGATAAATATATTAAGAGTAACTGGACTAACTAGATTAACAAAAAAAAGAGGGCTGTCGATTAATCGCAATTAACTCACGTGATTAACTCAAAAAAATCAATCACAATTAATCACAGTTTTAATTGCACTGTTAAACAGAATACCAACTGAAATTTATAAAATATTTTGGATGTTTTTCTACATTTTCATATATATTGTATTCTGCATTGTAATTGAAATATTTTTGATTGCAGATATTTGCACTGTAAAAATGATAAGCAAAAGAAATCGTATTTTTCAATTCACTTCATACAAGTACTACAGTGCAATCTCTTGGTCGTGAAGCGCAACTTACAATGTAGATTTTTTTTTTGTTACATAACTGCACTCAAACAAAACAATGTAAACTTCAGAGCCGACAAGTCCACTCAGTCCTACTTCTTGTTCAGCCAATCGCTAAGACAAACAAGTTTGTTTACATTTACAGGAGATAATGCTGCCCTTTTCTTATTTACAATGTCACCAGAAAGTGAGAACAGGCATTTCCAAGGCACTTTGGTAGCCAGCACTGCAAGGTATTTACGTGCCAGATATGCTAAACATTCGTATGCCCCTTCATGCTTTCGCCACCATGCCAGAGGACATGCTTCCATGCTGATGAAGCTCATTAAAAAAATGTGACTGAACTCCTTGAGAGAAAATTGTACATCTCCTGCTCTGTTTTACCCACATTCTGCCACATATTTCATGTTATAGAAGTCTCAGATGATGACCCAGCACGTTGTTCATTTTAAGAACACTTTCACTGTAGGTTTGACAAAACGCAAAGAAGGTACCAATGTGAGAGTTCTAAAGATAGCTATAGCACTCGACCCAAGGTTTAAGAATCTGAAGTGCCTTCCAATATCTGAGAGGGACGAGGTGTGGAGCATGCTTTTCAAAATCTTAAAAAAGCAACACTCAGATGCAAAAACTATAGAACCCGAACCACCAAAAAAGAAAATCAACCTCTGCTGGTGGCATCTGACTCAGATAATGAAAATGAACATGCGTCAGTCCGCACTGCTTTGGACTGTTATCAAGCAAAACCCATCATCAGCACAGACGCATGTCCCCTGGAATTGTGGTTGAAGCATGAAAGGACATATGAATCTTTAGCGCATGTGGCATGTAAATATCTTGCAACGCCAGCTACAACAGTGCCATGAGAAAGCCTGTTCTTACTTTCAGGTGACATTATAAACAAGAAGCGGGCAGCATTATCTCCTGCAAATGTATACAAACTATGGACTTGCAGGCTCTAAGATTTTACATTGTTTTATTTTTGAATGCAGGGGTTTTTTTAAACATATTTCTACATTTGTAAGTTCAACTTTCATGATAAAAAGATTGCACTACAGTATTTGTATTGGTGAATTGAAAAAATACTTTTTCTTTTGTTTTTTTTACAGTGCAAATACTTGTAATTGAAAATAAATATAAAGTGAGCACTGTACACTTCGTATTCTGTGTTGTAATTGAAATCAATATATTTGAAAATGTAGACATCAAAAATATTTAAATAAATGGTATTCTATTATTGTTTAATCACATGATTAATCATGATTAATATTTTTAATCGTGTGATTAATCGTGATTAATTTTTTTAATCACTTGACAGCCCTAAAAAAATCAAAGAAGAAAAACTGTAAAAGGAACAGAAGCAGGGGAGGATCATGGATGATTGGGGTTTAGTAAAACACTACAAAGAAATAATGAAACCATTAAAGAAAAAAAAGAAAGTGAGGAATGAGAACAGGAAGAAAAAAAAAAGTCAAACACATTGGTGGCTACTATAAGACTTTAAGGGAGTTCACTTTTAACTGCTTGTTGCAGATACAATGCCATAGGCACCCATTACAGGGAAATGTATTAGTCCTCAACTAGCTAAAATAAACAGGAATATCTGACTCACCCTCCCAATACATAAAAGGTCCTGGATTTTGCATGACTGATATATTATTGGTGTAAGCTACTGAAGATATTAGTGTGTATCTTACAAGTAAACAATGAAAAAGTGAGGCAACTAGGAAAGAAGCCTCCAAATATGTATATGTTCTGTATGTCTGGTTTTTGAAAGTAAAAACATTAGCTTTTCCAGACCTTGGTTTTAAGAGGCATGAGGTCTCATTTGACACTTACACTATTGCTATAACTGTGTGCACAAATCAAGCAACTGAGAGAGTTTGAGTTAACCCTAGTTAGTTGCCTATACAGCCACTTGCAACTGCAAAACACCCGATATGCTCATGGGAACGGCCAAAGCAAATACGTGAGAGAAATGTTCAGGGTTTTTTTTGTTAAATCAGGCACTTTACATTTCTTTTCTTTCTTTCTTTCTTTTTTTTTTTGCTTAAGTTGTGGTCTCCAAAATATAACATTTAAATGGAATACTTCTCCAATGACATTTGCACATGCAAGTATCAAACCTGCAGGACATTTTTCTACTTTAAACAGAGAACTCATGTATTTGAATTTTACATTAAAGAATAGCACCTTGTTCTGAAAATTAACAAGCAGTTAGAAAAACATTTCCTCCTTCCTTGTACAGTGATGCATTTAATTATGCAAGTAGGCAAACAAAGGATCCCCTTAGTGATTAGAGAGTACAGTCAGCTAGTCAACGAGTTTTAGCACTGGGTGGTAACTCATGGCAACAGGGCAGACAGAGAAGACAGCAGGCTAGATATACATAGTCAATCTTGTTATTTAGCATCAGAAGAAATAGCACCATAGAAAATCAGCAAAACACTTGCCAGAAAACACAATTATTATACTGCAGCAAAAAAGGTTTATATTATAATGGTTATATGTCCCCCATAATCTCTATATTCTACGTTTTATTTTTTAAACCTCACATCTTCGTTTAATGCAAGGACCCACTTTGTCTACCTATATTATTTCAGTGCTGGATTTTTGGATCTTTTGCGAGCATTAGTAACAATTTTTAAAAATAAAAAACTTCCATTAAAAGCATTTTGCCCTTACTGATTGCACAATTAATCTGGCATCCTCTTCGCTGCAACAAAAGGGGCTGTCATGCACCAAAACATTCATACTGAAAAATAAAAATTAATAAGATAGTTAACAATAAAAAAATGGAATATAATAAAACCTACCTATGATAAACAGTCTCTGCAAAGAACCCAAATGTTTATGACTACTAAGAAGTGAGTAGTCAAAAATGAAGCAACAATAACCAGCATTTTATACATTTAATATTTTACATTTATATAGTTCCTTTCATCCTTAAAAAGATCCCAAAGTTCTCTATAAATGGACACAATGGCATGGAGACAACCCTCGGGTAGGGGATCCAATAAACTGACTTCACATCACACTGGTGGCAAAGGAGAAATTTTGATCAAAGACCTGGGGCAAACCTCTGCTCTTTCAAAAAAAGTGTCCAAGATCTTTAATGCTTATGGCGAGCAGATGGGAACATGGAGCCAAATCCTCTGCTAGTGTACATGGCTAAAGTTCCACTGAAGTTAGTGCAGTTGTACCCATCTATACCAGGATTGAATTTGGACTTTGGTTTGTAAGGTCTCATCTAAATTATCTGATCGAATACTTTGCAGTTTATCCTATTCCTCAAAGTAAGGCTGTGATTTTTTTTTTTTTTTTAATAAATTATACCAACATGTAGCCTAAGTGCTTTGGAATAAAAAAATATGAAGCTCAATATTACCAAGTTATCCAATTATTAACAGAGCTGGACAACCCTAGAGTACAGCGAGACCACCACATTTTTCCAGGAAACATATAGGAGGACTATAATGAATCAGAATTTGCATTACATGTTTGGTTAATGGCAGGCACCCATAGTATTAAAAGAGGACCAGACAGAACATTCACACCCTGTAGGTTCTGTGCTGACAGTATTTGCACTGCAAATCCGCTCAGCGAGCTTGACAACAGGCCATTTAAATGTGTACCAAGCCAAAACCTGGTATTTAATGGCAGTTGAGCCTTCAAGAGGACTAACTACTTAAAAAACGTAACATTTTAAAGAATTTATGACAAAACTTTTAAAAACGCATATATACACAGTTACATATCAATATACACACATATCAGATTACGAGCAATACGGGGCCCCATTCAGCAAAGCACTTAAGCACATGCTTAATTTTAAGCTGTGCTTAAGATCACACTGATATCAATACTTAACTTTAACCACATGCTTAAACACTTTGCTGAATTGGAGCCATATTCCCACTTCTCAGATTCCAATGAATCTTTGCATGCCATGGCTTACATCATAACAGTTCACTCTGTAGGGTCAGAAGGGTTGGGTGAGGGCCATGCAATATCCTGGCAAACAGCTAACCATTTCATTACTCCTATGCTTTGATTGTGACACTGACTTAATGTATTCTAAGGGTGCCTAGACATTGATTGAGTGCCCATTACTTTAGATCAATGAACAACACCATAGTTATGTTAATATGAACAAATATACCCTGCTACCTTCTGATATCTCACTGAATTTTCTTATACAGTAAATGGAAAAACTGCAAATAGTTCCAGTTGCAATGTAAGCCATTAGATACACCTAGAGACTCAACCAAATAAAATAACAATAAATCTCTTTGTTTAATTTTGTTTTTCGTTTTTACCAGTTTACAGTATATTTAAACAAAGCGTGTTAAACACAACTAATATTAAGAATGGTATCACTCAACAGTGATCACATCTTGCCAACGAAGATGATTTGGTGACTAACGCAAACCCAGCCAGTCCAAAAAGAACGCTGGCTTGGAGAACTGGGGTCAATTTCTGGCTCTGCCACAGACTTCCAGTGTGACTTTGGGCAAATCACTTAATCTCAATGTGCCTCAGATACCCCATCTATAAAACAGAGATAACAATACACTTGTTCTCCAACTCTCTGACTGTGTCCTATTTAGGCTGTTGAGCTATCTGGGGCAGGGAATGTCTCTCACTATGTGTCTGTGCAGCACATTGGGGCCCCAATCTCAGTTGGGGACTCCTGGTTCTACTGCAAAACAAATAATAATAATAGTATGGAACAAATGATAGGCAGAGGATGCATTAGGGCTTTGTATGGAATATGGAGGCTCTCAGGGAAATCCCAAACAGTGTTATGGAAGAAAGGGAAATTCAAAATTGAGGACTAACTTGACAACTTAATTCCCTTGTTGTATTTAAAAACTGCAGGAATTTTAGAACAGAAGCTGATCATAAATACATCTACAGTGATACACAATAGGGTGGTCAGGACAAAATGACAGCAATAACTCTGCTTTTCCTTAGGTTAGGTTACTATCTTTAAAATTTTAAAGAATTCATAAATTTCATTTTACAGTGTAACTGTGTAACGTCACCATACTAAATGGCTAACACAACCCTAACCTTCTTTCTCCAGCTTAAAGTGAATACTTTTAATTAAATAATTTCTAAATATTAACAAGCTACACCTGGCTATATTATCAAATTACATAACAGGACATGTTCAAAGAAATTCAAAATGATCAGTATTGTGCAAAAAGCAACAGATTACACAGTAACTGGTTTTTGAGCTTTTACTAAAGTTTATTTATAAATAATCTGCAGGACTCAGATGATCAATATATATTTTCTGAGCAGTTTCCAGTAAACCCTGTGTAGTTACCATGCAAGAGCAATTATCTATCAGGATGCTGTAAAAACAGAAACGTTACTGCCACCTCAAAACAAAAAATGTAAGTGGTTCATACACAGCTACCACACTGACAGAATGAATACAATACAAATAGGAATACCTTTGAATGGACACTTACCATTTTATAGCACCTCTGTCAGCCTTTTTATGAAGCAAAGCTTTCCAGTATTCATGGGTGGATTTAATAATTTCAACAGCAAAATCCTAGTTTATATCAAGAAAAAGTTTTGAGATATAAGAAGCTACTAAATACATTCCAAATAATTAATTTATTAAAAAATGCAATTTCACAAGATATATTTTCCAAAACTTTTAATAAGGCTTCACGGGAGGCTCCCTACAATCACACTTTTCTAAGGTAAGAAACAGACCTCACTACCCACCAAATAAATTGGCATCACATTGAGGATACTTTTTGGTTGGTGGCCAGACACAATAAGGAGAATTCATGAAAAATGACATCAGTGTATGTGTACAGGAATAAATCATCATATTCTACATGTGTAGCTACAGATGTAGTAACATTGTATGATGCATTATTATTTGAGAAACACATGATCCTGTTCTTAAAGATTGTATTATAACGCATACACACAGGGATCAAAGTTAATGTTGCACACGCAGCAATATATTGGCATTTCCCGATTTGATTGCTTAACCATCCAACCTTAGTGTTGCATTAACGCGGTATATTAATTGCCTAGTTTTGTTTGGTGTGGAATTTAATTTCTTGTTGGTGTTTTGTTGCTGTTAAAAAAGGAAATACGGGGAGGAAATTAAAAAGCTTCAAAAATTTTTTAAAGTTTTAGACTTAACAGCTGTATGGACTAACACACACTTGCAGACAGAGCATGCATATTTCATAATTGAACTAGGTGGCTAGATACCACTGAGATGTTGCCACCCTTCACCTAGGGTGACCAGATGTCCAGATTTTATAGTGACTGTCCCGATATTGGAGGCTTTTTCTTATATAGGCGCCTATTACCCCCACACTCTGTCCCGATTTTTCATACTTGCTATCTGGGCACCCTATCTTCACCAGTGCCACTGGAACATTTTGGGGAAGAGTAACTCTTTTACATCCTGTATCAGAGGGGTAGCCATGTTAGTCTGTATCCACAAAAACAACGAGGAGTCCGGTGGCACCTTAAAGACTAACAGATTTATTTGGGCATAAGCTTCCGTGGGCATCCACTTCTTCAGATGCATGGAGACATGCATGCACGTCTTTTACATCCTGAGTCTCTGGAAACAAATGAAGCGCATCCAAGTTGGTCAGGGGGTGAGTACTCAGTGCGAACTCTGACCCAAAATTCCAGCAGTTTTGGCTGCAGCTTTGTTCAAGCCTCACTGAATATGCTTTGCAAAGTCTGTACTTAACAAAGGCAGACAGTGGAGGAGCTGGCAACAGAGTTTTGGGTTGTCTGCCCTTGTAACACTGGGTATTTTCCACCAGGCTAATGATTCATTTTATGGAGAAGAGTAATAAGAGGATCTTTACACCCAGAAAACATTGGAAAGTTTGTTTGGGTTGGTTAGTAGCCATTTTATAGCTGAGACAGTTTATAGCCAATTTGTGTACAGGCATCATTTCTCTGGAACCCATTTATAATGCTTAGGGAAAAAATCCCTCTATAGATTGTGCATAATATGTGATTTTCAAAACATTTAAAACTCAAATCAAACCCAATTTCACCTGGAAAAAGGTCACAGTGAGCACAGTCTCTACAGTGAGCGCTATTCCCATGTCCACTGCACTTCCAATCATCAGCTATTTTAGCCACAGGTGTCAAAAACTCATGAGAATTTTTCTTAAGATGAGAAAAGATCTTAGTCTTGAAGACAAAAACTGCTGAAACATTTTTACTCAAAATTACCAAAAAAATTCACTTCAGAGCAAAGACCAAGCATGGAAAAGTCTGCAACCTACTGCTTCTTTTAAAATATACAGTCTTGCAAAACTGTCATGAAGATTTGCCAGTCTATGCTCAAAATCTATTTCCCATTTCTTTCCTACGATGACAAAGATACTGAAAAGACCCAGCAAAAACCATATGCGTGTGTGTAAATCTCAACAGGAGTGGGACCTAATATTTTTCCCACTTGTTCAAAAGCCATTATTTTCTTGAGATATGTTTAATTTTGCAAGTTTGCCTAAATATCCACACAGACAAAAATACAACTATTCAAAATTCTCTATATGGATTAAGGTTTTCATTTTACAAACACATGAATATAAGCCAAATAAAGTTCTGATGTTTGATAATATATTCCTACTCCCTCCATACTGCATTTAAAGAATGCTGACTTAGCTTTATTCCATTATGATGGACCAACCACTTCCTTGCAAGCAATTCCAAAAAATCTAGGATATATCATTCCAAAAACCACACATGCCAGCAAGATGCATCTTTAAATCCATATCATCTTCACCTTGTCTTTAAACTCTCCATTAAAAGCAAACTGATTTTCCGGTTTGTCATCTGGGACCTTATAGAATCGGAACCACTCAGCTGTAGCCTCAAGATAACCCGGTTTGTGTTTCTTGACATCATCAATATCTGTAGGTATATATAAAAAAAAAGTATCACCTTTTTACTCACAGTTTTGGCAACATCAATTTTTAGAAGTCTTGTAAAATATTTGCAAGCAATTTGATTTCAGTGAATTCTTTCAAAGTCATCAGGGAATTTCAGTTTCTTCCTCAGTTGCACATAGTTGATGTTTTATGATTTCACCACCACACTAAAATAGATAAGCCAGGCACCTCCCAGTCTTCATTAATTAAGACCCAAAGGCCCAATAAATAAAATGACCACCTTTATAGCAGGTGGGGAAGAAAATTCCATATTTATAGGCTTTCATCTCAGTAGGTACCTCATGAGAGAGACTTGGATTACTTTATACATTTTATTTCCCAGCAACTGTGCCACTGCGTCTTTTTGATAATGGAAAAGTAATTGGCAAAAACAATTTTAGCTCACGGATTTTAAACTAGCACCTGAAAACAAAGTATAAACTTGGTGTAGCAAAGGAAAACACAAAATGTATATTAAAAACACACCTGACAGCACATATTACCTCTGAATTTGGCCCATTAGATACAGAAAAGGTAAATGCTTCTAGCATTAAGTATTCTAACACCTACTGCTAGTTACTTGTGCTAACACATTCTACCCTTACCTCTGCAGGTGCAGAGCACCTGGCAGCAGAATGAGAAAGTTCCTGCCGCGCAAGCATAGGACAGGCCATGAAGAGGGATGCATGCCCTTGGCAGAGCATGATGAATTTGGAAAATGGCTGTACGACTTATGAATTCTGGTTGTTATTGTGAAACTGTATTATGAAACATTTCTGTAACATGAGTGCCTGTATGTATACGGACCCATCACTGCTGACAGGTCCTGTAGCAGGTACAAATCAGACAAGGACAATGGGAAATATTTAGCAGACCTGAAGAAGATTTCTATGTAAGTTTGAAAGCTCAATTCTCTCTCACCAACTCAAGTTGGTCCAAAAAGATTATCTCACTCCCCTTCTCTCTCTAACATTAACAATGGTACTTAGACCTCACAAAAGTTATACTAAAGACAGCTGCATCCATAAAAAAACAGTTTTAGTTTAACTCCTTGAAGGAGAGGGGTGAGGTCAGCGCAGTGGAAAGTTACCCGAAAGATAGAACAAAGGAAGCCAGACGGGTTTATAGCAAGCCAGACAAGAAGCAGCTGCTTGGGCAGGAGAGGATAAGGTCACACAGTATGTGGTGGCCTCATGTGGCAGAGGCGCCCTACCTGCTTTATTGAGTCCTAATCGTCCCAAGGACTCTGAACAACGCAACTAGGTTAAATTACGAAGGATGAATATAAACAAACACCACAAACACGTAGGGACAAAATTAGAAGGCCAAGGCACAAACCAAGATTAAACTAGCTAGAGGCATAAAAGGTAACAAGAAAACAGTCTACAAATACATTAGAAACAAGAGGAAGATCAAGAACAAGGCAGGCCCATTGCTCAATGAGAGGTAGAAAGAGAACAGAAAATGTGGAAACAGCAGAAGTGATAAATGACTTTTTTGTTTCAGTATTCACCAAAAAGGTTAGTAGTGATTGGAAGTCTAACATAGTGAATGCCAGTGAAAATGAGGTAGGGTCTGAGGCTAATAGGGAAAGAACAAGTTAAAGAAGTACTTAGACAAATCAGATGTCTTCAAATCTCTTCGAGATTTCCTGGGGAAACATCCGAGTCATTAGAGATTATCCTCAAAAACTCATGGAAGATGGGAGACATTCCAGAGGACTAGAAGAGGGCAAATATAGTGCCAATCTATAAAAAGGGAAATAAGGACAATCTGGGGAACTACAGGCACCACTGAATTTCATGGCCCATGACCGTCAGTAAAGGCACCTGGGCTAGCTTGGCTTCTCCTCCTTGTTTCCACTTTCTCTAATAGGCTCCAGAAGCAGTTGGAACAGAACAGTAACATAAGCACCATGTGATTATTCAGCAATTTAAAATTTTTTTTATTACGTTTTTCTTCTTAATTTGGGGAAGTGTTACAACCCGTAAGTCCTGTTGTTGTAAAGCCAGCACTCAGCCACAGGTAACCTCCTGTGGGCCTCATTACTCAACTGCAACCCACCCTAGTCACTTAAGAGACATCATGGACAAGCTGGAAAGAAAGCTTGTTCAGTCCACTGAAAACTAAGAGGATGACAGCTTCCACACAGGACTTGGGAGGTGGATGTAAAGTGTGTGTGTTGGGGGGGAGGGGCGGGGTGGGGAGAGAGCAGCGAAAGGAGGAGGAATTCACAGGGGTCCGATAAAGGAGCAGAAAAACAGGAAGAAAGGATAGCAGGTGCAGTGATTTAATACACTAGTCTCTAGAACCTGGGTTTCACATCTGTATTAGAATAAAACAAATAGGAGTCAATTGATTTCTGCCTTCCCCACATCACAGTCATTAGGTGCCATACTCTGGTACTGGATATGTACACATGGTCTCCATTGAAACTATGTATTCAGGCTGAAGTCAAAGGGAACTAAACGTGTGTAGAACAACAAATGTATAGCCCAATATAATTTGGTCCTATGTATCGGTATTGTCAATCTCTGCTCAGAAGAGGCCCAGGATGCGAATGCCAGGAGCCTTGCAGGTCACACAGTATTAACATGCATTAACACCAGTATGGGGGTGTGGTTTCTGCATATTGCCTGTATGCATTTTCCAGGTCCACCTTCATAAGCATCAAAGGTGACCCCAGGGTTAAAAAAGCAGATGAAAAAAAGTCAGCTGTTATTACAGTGAGTGTAAGCAGCTTGGTTTGAATAAGGGAAATCTCTAGAGGCCGGCACAAATGGCTACGGCTTTGCTTTTTGTCAAAGGACAGAGCCAATGAAAATGCGGCTCCCAAGTCTATCAGGCCTTACAAAAGGAAACGATAAAAATGTTTGTAGAAAACTACCATTTTTAGTATAACAGATGCTGTTTCTTGCAAGCAAAGCTAAAGCAACATGCTTGCAACAAGCTTTCTAAACAAGGTCTGTGGGAAGAGAAGACATATGTTTTTAATAACATCTTATAAACATTTACAGGAAGCAGCAGCTACACTCCATATAAAGGCATTTGTTGTATTTTCTGCAGCAAGGGGGGAAAATCAGCCCTGATACAGACAATTAATTTCTTTATGTTGAATGCTTACACAAATTCCCAACAAAAGCTTTCATGGGCCTCTTCTGCATATAAATATACCCTTACGTACAGAAAGGGAATATACACAGTACATGATACCAAGAAGTGCAATATACTTCATCATTCAGCGATTGACCCCATAACTCAAAACTGACTTAAAGCCACCACATATGGTCATCACCTATAATTAATAAAAACAACCCAAGACACTGCCCATTGCTATGTATTATGTTTATAAACAGCAGAGAGCATTTTTCAGGGGGGGAGAGAAGGGTGCTGATATTGTACAGTAACTATACAATGTGTTATTAATATACCAACATTGACAGAAATTATTTACAGATATGTATATATACAGGCATCATTCCAATGACCAACAGAATAAAACCAACTGGCCAAGATTTCCAAAAATGACCAGTGATTTTGGGTTCCTTGGTTTTTATGTGCCAACCTTGAGACACCTTTAAGGGGCCTGGATTTTAGAGGGTAAGTGTTCAATACTTTCTAAGAGCATCTGTAAGACACTTCAAACCCAGTACCCCAAATCACTAGTCACTTTTAAAGCTCTTGGCCAGTATGAATCTCATTTTAGGGCTTTGTAATTGGGGCTAAACATAATCATGCCCAAATATTTCTCTGAGTTTGCAGGAAAGGTAAATTGGTCCTGATCTGTATTTGAACTTCAATACATAAATTAAATCCCACTATGAGACAAGTGATCAAAAACATTTTCCATTTCAAGAATTTGACTCTCTTCTTGGCCAAGATATTACACAAAGCTCAGGCCTGCTTTAGAGATTCAAGAGTGGGGGAACCAAATTTTAGATCCACATCCAGACCCACGTCCTTGTTTTTAAATTGCTTCACTGAGTCCAGCAACGGTTATCTGGCTACCAGCTGCCTGGGCAAAAAATGGTGCTCAGGTATGTAAAGGGCAGAGTTAAACCGAAGCTAATTATATTAAAACAGGTGGTTCTTCCCTTGCACCAATGAAAATTTCCAAGTTAAACTTTTTAACTTACGCACACACTTAAAAAGCCAGTGTCTGAACTGCAGCTCGATTTGAAACAGGAATTGTCCCCACCCCTTCCAATATTAACAGTTGTAATTTTACAGCCCCAACATAATGCATAAAGCCCAGCCCTTTGAAACTGTGCCTGCTTAATCCCCAATGAAATTAATGGGAGTTGATGCCAAGCACCTCTCAAGCCCCATATCGTACCATTCAGGTATTGCAAATGCAAATTACAGCTTTTTCATTGCTCTATATGAGAGAGTTCTAGGCACAGTTTCCAGTTTAAGCAATATTTATCAATAAATGCCTGCAGAATTGGAGGCCTCTATATTGGGAGGACTCTGTATAAACAATGGGAAATGCTCAGAAAATGCTCTGCTTTAAATTCTGTTTTGGAAATCAATTGCAGTTATGAGAATGATCAAAAACCCAGATGGGGAAATACGATGTACCTGGTGCGTGTTTAAATCAGTAAGAAAAAAATTAATATACAGCACAAGCTCAGGACAGGATTTTCAAGCATTTAGCACTTTACTGTCCCTAAATTATTTTTTTTCCAGATTTACCATAACTAAACTTTTAATATAAAGTGGCCTGAGTCACCCAAGCAAAAAAAACCTAAACATTTTTCACAAATGTTAGCACAACAAAAAAGACTGACCAGATGTTGTTCAGACTTCTGAAGGGGATAAAGAAGACAGGAAAGGTCCTTGCTGGGCAGAGACCAAACATAAGAACTCTCAACCCAATCAGAAATATTAAGTGAATAGTAGAAACTGACTGATGCCACTGCCATAATGCAATGATATCAGCTTGTCAGTTATTAGAAGAGGTTTCTTAGTTTTATCCACAGCTATTTTCCATTTGAATAAATAAAAAGTCTCATGGGGTGGAGGGAAAACAAGTATAAAGGGACATACTGTACTGCACATTCCACCACATTTGTTTATTTTCAGAATGAAGAGGGATTCCTGTTAACCACTGCAAGCTACAGTTATGTTTTGTTTAAACTAAATGGGGGACTTCCCCTCCCCCCCAAACCTTGGACTACTCAAATAATCTCTGAAGTGACCATTTCTTATATTTAAGAAATGTTTTCCCTCTTCACCCTCTGATTGTCAGGTGGACGCGTCTCAGGGTATGCCTACACATAGAATCATAGATCATAGAATATAAGGGTTGGAAGGGACCCCAGAAGGTCATCTAGTCCAACCCCCTGCTCGAAGCAGGACCAAATCCCAGTTAAATCATCCCAGCCAGGGCTTTGTCAAGCCTGACCTTAAAAACCTCTAAGGAAGGAGATTCTACCACCTCCCTAGGTAACGCATTCCAGTGTTTCACCACCCTCTTAGTGAAAAAGTTTTTCTAATATCCAATCTAAACCTCCCCCACTGCAACTTGAGACCATTACTCCTCGTTCTGTCATCTGCTACCATTGAGAACAGTCTAGAGCCATCCTCTTTGGAACCCCCTTTCAGGTAGTTGAAAGCAGCTATCAAATCCCCCCTCATTCTTCTCTTCTGCAGGCTAAACAATCCCAGCTCCCTCAGCCTCTCCTCATAACTCATGTGTTCCAGACCCCTAATCATTTTTGTTGCCCTTCGCTGGACTCTCTCCAATTTATCCACATCCTTCTTGAAGTGTGGGGCCCAAAACTGGACACAGTACTCCAGATGAGGCCTCACCAATGTCGAATAGAGGGGAACGATCACGTCCCTCAATCTGCTCGCTATGCCCCTACTTATACATCCCAAAATGCCATTGGCCTTCTTGGCAACAAGGGCACACTGCTGACTCATATCCAGCTTCTCGTCCACTGTCACCCCTAGGTCCTTTTCCGCAGAACTGCTGCCTAGCCATTCGGTCCCTAGTCTGTAGCTGTGCATTGGGTTCTTCCGTCCTAAGTGCAGGACCCTGCACTTATCCTTATTGAACCTCATCAGATTTCTTTTGGCCCAATCCTCCAATTTGTCTAGGTCCTTCTGTATCCTATCCCTCCCCTCCAGCGTATCTACCACTCCTCCCAGTTTAGTATCATCCGCAAATTTGTTGAGAGTGCAATCCACACCATTCTCCAGATCATTTATGAAGATATTGAACAAAACCGGCCCCAGGTCCGACCCTTGGGGCACTCCACTTGATACCGGCTGCCAACTAGACATGGAACCATTGATCACTACCCGTTGAGCCCGACAATCTAGCCAGCTTTCTACCCACCTTATAGTGCATTCATCCAGCCCATACTTCCTTAACTTGCTGACAAGAATACTGTGGGAGACCGTGTCAAAAGCTTTGCTAAAGTCAAGAAACAATACATCCACTGCTTTCCCTTCATCCACAGAACCAGTAATCTCATCATAAAAGGCGATTAGATTAGTCAGGCATGACCTCCCCTTGGTGAATCCATGCTGGCTGTTCCTGATCACTTTCCTCTCATGCAAGTGCTTCAGGATTGATTCTTTGAGGACCTGCTCCATGATTTTTCCAGGGACTGAGGTGAGGCTGACTGGCCTGTAGTTCCCAGGATCCTCCTTCTTCCCTTTTTTAAAGATTGGCACAGCAACCAGACACCCGCAGCTGGCCCGGGCCAGCCGACCCAGGCTCATGGGCTTGGGCTGCAGAGCTGCTGCACTGCAGTGTAGATTTCTGGGCTAAGGCTGGAGCCCGAGCTCTGTGATCCTCCCATCTTGCAAGGTCCCATAGACCAGGCTCCAGCCCGAGGCCAGAAGCCTACACAGCAATGCAACAGCCCCAGAGCCCAAGCCCCGCAAGCCGGAGTCAGCTGGCATGGGCCAGATGCAGGTGTGTGCTTGCTGTGTCAACATACCCTCAGAGTTGTGTATTTTCCATCTGTCAATCTGCCCTGCAGTGGCTCAAGAGCGTAAGTACCAACTTCAGGGCAGACTGTTAGGAACCAGGGCACAAACCCCCAGTTGGTTGTGAGCTCTATGCCTAAATTTCACCAACCAATCGTCAAGCGTGAACTCCTCAGACACTAACAATCTTAACATGGAGTCACAGACATTCCTCTTCAGTACTTTCTGTTTGGCCACCCAGGTTATCCTACCTCTGTGACAAATGTGCCCTTACCCCAAGGATCACAGCAATATTCAGGTTACTCTCAGTCCTAAAAGACCAGCCACTTACCCCAGGTCAATTGCACATAGGATCTCACACCAAAGGCAGTTTATTAAAGGACTGGCTCTTCGTGCAAATATATTCTCTAATGAAAATCTGTGTGCGCGCACACATCACATGCCACAGTTCATAGTTTTGGGTTTTGTTTAAAAAAGAGAGAGATAAATAGTCTATTTCCAAATAAATTGGAGTTCTGTCACCAAAGTATCCAATCCTTTAGGGCAAGAGTGTTACTCAACAAAATAAAACCAGATTTAAGACAGCACTAGTGCACTAAGTATTAAACAGTGGCTCAGTTTTGTTCTATATTTTACTTTTGTCATACTAAACTATTTCTTAATCACTTTAAGTTATGGTCAAAAAAAATTATAAAAGAGATTAAAAAAGAAAAAACGTTGTCTAAAAATATATCACTAATTGCTTGTCAAGATCACTTAGCCAGCCACCAAGTGGTTCTTATTTATTACAAAATATATATGGATACCCACTGAACATTATGGAACGTTGTAAACTTGGGTGCAAACACTGAGGGCAACTCCACAGATCTGAGTTCCTCTGAGAAAGAGGTGGGGAAGACGACAGAGATGCTCTCAGATAACTGAATCTCAAATCATTTAGCCCTTCTTACAAGTTGTGCCTTTCTATTTACAAGCAGCTACAGTGTGGCTAGCTGAAGCTTCAAAGTCATTTCTAAGGGCTGTCAGTCGTTCTGATCATGGGGGCAAGGTCCATGGGAAAAAGCAAGGTGTCACAGCCTTCAAACTAAAAGCAGATGGAAAGAGGATCTATGTGCTACAGCTGTCACCTGAAAATCCAGGGCTAGTGATGAATCCAAGATAACCGTGTGACTATGAACCATGCCAGCAAGCCCCTTAGGCAGAAGACACACTAACATCACCGATCCATTCATGTAAATGCTTCCTTATGCCATTAGCATTAGTTCTGTCTCATCCAGATTGAACCACGTTGCTCACTGCAAAAGCAAAGAGTTAAGTATCTGGTTTTGATGAAAGAAGAGTCATAGATCAGAGTGTCATCTTCACACTGATGAAGCTGCAGGCTGAGACATCTCACTGCTTCCCTAAACTAAACTTATGGATCTCTGTAACGAACACACAGTATGAGAAGGCAGAAACACTCTGCTGAATTGATCTGCCTCAGTGATTTTACTAGCCTAAGAGCTTCCTTATCCTTTCATCACAGGTAATCTGTAAATCATGGTGACCTGTGGAAACAATGAAAAGGGGAGGGCCATCTAGGTAGCGGCCCACTGATGCAGATAACAACTTGCCTTAATATTGTATTCAGCCACCAGGAAAATGGTTCAATGGCTGAGCAGCATAATTCCTCAGACATCTAGAACTCTATTGGACACATCCGTTACTGCAGACCGACCATTAAAAAGGGCGCTATCCCAACAAAAGGATAAGCCCTGACCTCGAGTACCTGAGAGTACATAGGATATTTAGCCTCAGAACATAATTATTACCTTGACAAAGATTGTCCACCACTTGCACAAGATTTTAGCCCTTGGATTCCCAATGATTTTATTTTTAAGAATGAAGTCCTGTTAGCTACAGGATAGGTATGGCACAAACACAGATTGAACCGCTGAGACCACACGCTTACCTCTTCTGAAGGGAACACCTGCAGGAATGGGAAGGTAATCCAGTTACCATGCCACTTTAAAGCAACCCTGCCAAGCTGAAATCTAGCCAATTTGTAAAAAATAAGTTAAAGGTCATTTCAGGTGCTAAACCTGCCTTGGAGTCCTGCCACCCATTTTTCATGGCTACACAATCACACTTTTTTTTAGTATTTTTTTTCCTCTGTTACTGTGCAAAGGATCCAAACAAAACAAACCAGTGGATGAATGGCTATTAGGGAGGCAAACTAACAATACTGAAAGTAAACACTGAAACTAATTTTTTCTTTTCATTTCTTTCAGCAACAGTTCAAACTATTTCACAGATGCAAGTAAAAGCTTTTCAGACAAATGTGATTTTATTTTTTTTAAGTTAGATGTGTTCCTTTAATCTCTACCTTCCCTCTGCTGACACGAACGTCAATTTGATTTTGAATGTGAACTACAAAAAGCTAAAATGAGCCCACCAACTAATTTCACACGTGCAACAATTCTCAATTACTTGGGAATCAAGTTGTCAAAATCCTGTAGGACACTTTGAAAATGTAGGGGCATCTTCAGAGTTCAAAACTATACCTACCCAAATACCATAAACAAAAAACCCTCATACAGCCAATGGAAATTAGGGCTGTTCGAAGTAAATAACATTTGCAAGGGTTTAAACTTTATAATTTTCCCAACTACTTACTAAGGTAGTCATGTTTCAAAAATCATATTCTCTCACACAAGGTTCTGTGTATGACAGGTCATTTGAGGAAGTCCGGAGATAGCTGTTAGCCTTCCTAAAGCTTACCGTGAGATACGTACATGCATTCCCTAAAGAAGATGTTTAATACATGCTTCCTTTTCTTTAGGCTGTCTGCCTTGCCTCATCCTTTGTGTGTAAATGTCAGAGACCACTCTACTGGCCATGCAATTAAAAGCAAGGTGCAAATATTTAAATCTGGAGCTGCGCAGTTAGTAATCTAGGCCACACTTCTGTATTACCAATTCCAAGTTCTAGGTTTATCCTATTCCTCAAAGTTCACTTGCTGAAATGGATGGTTTGAGGACAGGTAAAGATACTTGCCATGAATTTTCTGGGCTTCTGGGTCATCCACACTGATGGCAATAATCTTCCAATCGGTCTCTCCTTCATCAATAAGAGCCATAACTCCAAGAACCTTTACCTGAATGATCTCACCAAGAGAGTGTACCTGAAAGCACAGCAGCACAATTCCTGTCTCAGTAAGGTATAGAAAAGGCTACACAGTCACAACCTCTTTGTTTTCCTCTAACAGACCAAAAAGTTGTTGTTCTCTTTCAACTCTGCCACATTCCTGTCCAGAGTTTTACTTCCCGTCCCTAACAGATTCCCAGGCCCACTTGCCCCTCTCCAGTCTTTTCTCACCTTTGATTCTCTCTTCCATCTCTCTGTGCAGGATCTCAGTAATTTCTTCAAGGAGAAAACTGACATGTTCTAGCAAGAATTTTCTTCCCTTCCCTCTATATTTACCCTAATCTGTGATCCAGAGGCACCACTCATTCATCTTCTAATCCCTTCTACCTATCGCTCCTGTCCCCATCCCAAGTCCTCATCTCTTCTCTCACTCTCCTGGCTCCTTTCTCCTAGCCTTCAAACATATACCTATCTCCACACTCTACATTCACCCTGGCTTCTCCAAATAGCACCTCCTCTCTCTCCTCTTCTTTTCCTCCAAGCCCCATGAGTGTGAGGTTTCTTCCTGCTGCAGCAATTTCCTTTCTTCCAATTCCTTCTTGGATCCCTTGTAATCCAAATTCAGGTTCCTCTTCTCCACTGGCACAGCCTTTACTTAGGTCACTATCAATCAGTCTCCTTCTGGCATAGTCCCAGGGGCATCTTCTGCAAACTCATTCTCCTTGATCTATCCACCACCTTTAGCACAACTGATTATTGCTACCTCCTTTCCTAACTCTGTGGACTTTCAGAATTTTTCTTCCTCCATGTTGTTACCACCTTACCACTCCAAATGATCCTTCGGAGTCTCCTTCTCCACCCATCCCAGTCAACATCCCATAAGCGTAAATAGACCCTCTTTCCTTTCTCATCTCTAGTTGGCCTCAACCTACCATCTCTAAACAGGTAACTCCCAAATCTGCCTTTTCACCTAATCTATCCCCCTCACTCTAGTCTCACATCTTTGTTTTTCTGTCTCGTGTTCCTAGGTTTCCCATGGCAATTCAAGTTCAACATGGGAAAAAGAAAAAAAAAAGTTCTCTTTTCCATCGCCATTAAGAATTGCACTGCCCTTGTGAGTTATTCAAGCCCTAAAACCTGCCATTTTTATCTCCTCTTGTCTCTCTCATCCAACACCCAAGCTTTTGTGAAATCCTTTTTTCCCCTCTCCAAAACTCACCATTTCATAGAGTTTAAGGCCAGAATGGACCACCAAGTCCTACGAAAGGTCAGATTAGATTTTACAGGCCACCACTACCCTCACACAAAACCCAACAACTGAAATTAGACCCCAGTATTACAGCCCACAGAAGACTAAATTATTGTGTGCCCCAGGCAAATGCAAGGGGCCAAGGTACACCAGTGCCCAATGCTCCCACATTGGCAGTGAAATGATTAAGTGAGATATAACCTTATAATCCAGGCAAATGAGTTATACCCACACTCACTGTAGAGGAAGCTGAAACCCCGCCCTCCCCAAGATCAGTGCCAATCTGAAAATTTCTTCTCAACCCCACATATGGCCATCAGTTAGACCCTGAGCACGTGAGCAACAAATAGCCAGCCAAGAACCTGAGAGAGATAGTGAGAGAGAGAATCACTGGTGCCGCCTCAGAGCTCTGGCCTGCCCCATCCAATGTGCCACCTCCAGCCATGACCATCCCTGATTATTCAGAAAAAGAAGATAAAAACACTTTCAGAATATTTGGGAGGCAGAGGGGGGAATCCCTTCCTGACCCCCTGCCAGAGGCCAGCTGAAACCCTGAAGCATGAGCTTTTAGGAATATAAGACATAAACCTGAAGTAAGCCCCAGGGTTTTTAAACCCTTCCCTATTAACACAAGCAACCCTCAGTTTCCTCTCAGATTCTAACAACAGAACCTTGCCCATACTTTGGCAGGGCCGGCCTCTGGGGTGGGCCATTCGGGCCCCCGCCCAGGGCAACCCACCAAAGAGGACGACATGTGCAGGGTTTGGATTCCCACCTGACCTGCTGAGGGCCAGCTGGGCTGGCGGCAGGCAGGCAGCAGCGCTGGAGAGGGGGCAAGGGGGAGAGACCCAAGCTGCAGAGGGCAGTTGGACGACCAGCCATCGAGCCAGGTGACTCCTCCAGAGCAGAGGTTCTCCTCTTCCCCGCTGTTCTGCGTGTGTAGCTGCTGCTGTTCCTGTCTCCCCCCACCCCCTTTCTCCTGCCCGGAGCTGCCCTGGCCACTCCGGACAGGGAGCATCCTGCTGTCTGCTGGGGGCTGATGTCAGGGCGTCCCCCTCACCTGTGCACCGGATTTCCATTGAGCTGGGGTGATGGGACAGGGGGAAATCTGTGTGTGCGCTGCTGCCTCTCTGGGTCCAGAGCTGCTGGCGGCTGCATGTCTCTGAACACAAGCCTTCAGGCTCCTGACAACTGAGTGCTTTCTTAAAGAGACAGCGCACTCATACACTCAGGCACACACACACTCCCTTCAACACAACACACACTGTGTCACACACACACAATCTCTCTCTCCTCTCCTCCCCCCCCCCCCCGACCCCCAACACACACAACACCAGGGCTCCCTGCATTCAGGTCACTTTCTCACCTGGGCTATGCTGAGGCATCAGCAGCTGCTGCTCTCCTGCAGTCTCCTTATGCAGCCAGGGGGGGCATGGGGCAGAGGAGCAGCAGTCCAGTGGGAGAGCGAGCAGCAATGCCAGCTGCTTTGTGCATCCAGGTCAGTTTCCCCACATGGATACAGGACGGGGATGCAGGGCTTATGGGAGCAGGAGGCAGGAGTGACGTGGGCACAGTGAAACAGTTGGGGCACAGGAGAGAGGTGCAGGGGATAGGAGTGAAGGGGTGCAGGGACTAGGGGCACAGGAGGGGAATGCAAGGGTTGGGGTGACGGGGTATGCACAGTGTAGGAGTTTAGGGGAGCAGGAGGGAGGTACAGGCATTAGGGGTGAAGGTGGCACAGTGCAGGGGTTAGGGGGGAAGGGAGGGTGGGGAGTCCATGGGGGACCAGGAACAATGTGAGGGGGCATCACACCCATGGGGGCCAGGGGCACCAAAATGCAAGTTTGCCCCGGGTGCCATTTTCCCTAAACCTGGCCCTGTACTTTGGTCATCCCCCAACCACAAATACTGTAACCTTTTCCCTCTGGTCAATTGCTTCCACCTTGCCCCCTCCATTCTATCCAAAAAGCTGCCACCAAAATATTAAAATAACCATGTTTATTAAGACAAACCTTTGTGCCTATTTCACACACATCAATGGGATCATTATCACCACAGCATCCTGTATCCTTATCTTTATGGTGTGGATCTTCCCAAGTCTGTTAAAGGATTGAGAAACACAATAATTAATCTCCAATCACAATTCCTTAGTTTATCTATAAATTACAGAGATTAATAAAACACCAGTAAATAAAGATACAACCTTCCCTTTTTCTGGCAATAGGCATGCTTAGCTCAAGAAAGATGATAGATTTTATGAGCCTGGGTAAGATAGCTGGTAGAGCACCAGCCTTTTAATCTGAGGGTCTGGGATTAAAGTCCCTCTTCAGGTACAAATGCCAAGTCAAGGCTGGATGTGTTTCTAAAGATATGCTCAACATTTTGTTTGTTGGGTTTTTTAATTAAAGGGGATGGTTTTACAACTTAGTTATTTCCACTTTTAGAAAAAGTTTGTCATCAATAGCTATTTTCCTGCTATAAGTGACTTTTTTTTGTGATTTTTATATCCTCTGAAGTAGGTAATTGCTTCAATTTGGAGATTTTTATTTTCCATGTTTGAAGTAATGAATCTACTAGAAATGAGGGAGAAAAACACACACACACACGCACGCCCTTCCACCAAAAAATATGGATTTTAGGAAGAGGGAAAAAAGAGTCTCGTGGTGAAATTTCTTCCAAGGCACCCTTAAGTACTTCCCAACTGGTTGCTCATGAGCAAACATCTAAATCCTTATTGTCACCAAATTTGGAATTTCAGTCACTTTTTATAAACACGAAACATAAAATTTTAAATGAAATATGATCAAAGAAGTCTAAAAGTTTAAAGTGAAATAAGTCAAAGTACATGTAACTAGAGTTTAACCCAAAAACCAAAGTCCCTACATTTTTTTCCTTTGTCAAAGAGGTTAAGAGATTCCAGTTACTATTTGCACTGCCAAATATGAATGGCATCCATGAATTTACCACTTGAACTTTGTGTAAGGGGAAAAAATGTTACTACTACTTGTTTTAAGTACTTTTGAATGACAGGAAGATTGCAGCATAATCCTGTCACATAGTAGAGGGAAGTAAAACATAAATTCAAGGTTCCTTAATACTTAACTCCTTCCTGAAATAGCACACACATGCCCCAATTCTGATCAAAATTTATGGACACACTAAAGTTCTGCATAAAAAATTCCTAATTTACAAATCTATCAAACAGAAACATCCTTCTTGCAACATATTTGCATTCAGGCAATGCTCAGGATTTATAAGGCAATTTATTCAGAAGACAGGAAGGTTTCACCATTATAACAAAAATGTTACCTGAGGGAGGGCACCATAATTCCATATATAACCCTTGTGAGGGAAGATATTGGCCACATATCGAAGCTTGCCTCTCTTTATATCTTGTTTAATGGGATTCAATGGTTCCTTGGTGGCAATCTAAGCAGATTGTGAAAGAGAGAGAGAGAGAGTAAAGAATTCTAAAATGCACAGCAATTAATCCTGTACCGAACTGGGTAAGAAGTTGCATTTTGGGCAGTGGGGAGAGCAAGCTTGAGGTCTGGAAAGTATTAAAGTGCGATAGCCTCACTAATTCTTTAGGGTTATGTTCAAAAACAGACTTATTATTAATGTTTTAAGCTTTGGTGTGAAGTATTCATGGCAAAAAAAAACTGGACCCAGACACGCAAAGCCATATCATTATAAGAAGTCTCTCATGGTCAGATACAAATACTGAAGGGGACCTAGGTTGGAAGCACTGCACTTTATGGGCCAAATTTGGCAGTAACATAAATAGGGGTCCAAGCTGATCAGACAACAGGGGTTTGACAATGACGGAAAACTGCTTTAACTGTTAGTTGTTTTCCTACACCATCTGCTTTCTCTACCCATAGTATATAAATTACACTTGTTCTGCACACTCATTCTGCACACCCAATGAACACCAAATTAGTGCAAGATTGGAAGCAGATTAAGTTAAATCAGAAAAACGCACTCTGGTTCCTAAATAGGCATCTCCACATGGGGATCTATTGCAGAATAGCTTATTCCACAATAGCTATTCTGGCCAATTTCCCGAAGTAGACAAGTCTGACTTCATGGCCTACACATGTTTTCTGACCTATTTATGCTAAGCATCGTTCCCCTCTATTCGACATTGGTGAGGCCTCATCTGGAGTACTGTGTCCAGTTTTGGGCCCCACACTACAAGAAGGATGTGGAAAAATTGGAAAGAGTCCAGCGGAGGGCAACAAAAATGATTAAGGGACTGGAACACATGACTTATGAGGAGAGGCTGAGGGAACTGGGATTGTTTAGTCTGTGGAAGAGAAGAATGAGGGGGGATTTGATAGTTGCTTTCAACTACCTGAAAGGGGGTTCCAAAGAGGATGGATCTAGACTGTTCTCAGTGGTAGCAGACGACAGAACGAGGAGTAATGGTCTCAAGTTGCAGTGGGGGAGGTTTAGGTTGGATATTAGGAAAAACTTTTTCACTAGGAGGGTGGTGAAACACTGGAATGCGTTACCTAGGGAGGTGGTGGAAGCTCCTTCCTTAGAAGTTTTTAAGGTCAGGCTTGACAAAGCCCTGGTTGGGATGATTTAGTTGGGGATTGGTCCTGCTTTGAGCAGGGGGTTGGACTAGATGACCTCCTGAGGTCCCTTTCAACCCTGATATTCTATGATTCTATGTGACATACACCACCATTTAAATCATCACTGAAATTGGCCCATAGACTTCCAAAGGAGTTGCACCCATTTACACCAGGTCAGAGCTGGACATTGTGCCTCTAATTATAGGTCTCCTTTTTGAAAAAACACAAAGCATGCTCCAAAATTTGTGACTGATTGTGCAATTCTGGTTTCAGTCAGGATTTTACCCTGCATTTGGCCAAATCCTACTAGCAAAATATGGAGTAACTCCACTGAGAATGGTGATGTTTCTCCAGATGTACAGTGATGTAACTGAGCAGAATAATTTGGCCCCTGCCTGATGTTGCCAGAGTGTCTTGGAAGAGGCTGCTGGAGATGCAAAAATGAGAATGACCTCAAGGAAGGCCAACAGGAAACTATGTGAACTGTTGGGGCAGAGTGACATGCAGGAAATGTGATCTAGTAAGAGGGAGCAGGGGAGGCAAGTTTCAATAACTTTGTTTCTTAAATTCTTTAGATCAGATAAGAAAGTCTTCCCATGAAGGGAGGAGCAGTCCAGGAGTCACAGATGTGTGGTGATCTGTGTCTAGTTTTGGCTTCCTACCATCGTCCAATCTGAAGGATGGTGTCTGGGAGCAAGGAAGGGGTTAGGAGAACAGAAACCTAATGGGCACCGATATAATCTCTGCCAGAGTAGTATTGTAAGAGTTTCCATATCCCAGCAATTATTTGATCAGCTGGCACGGCAAAGTAAAGGCAGCCATTTCTTGTCTCTTGCAAGAAGTCAGAGGTGGAGAAGCCAGACAAGGATTTCACACCACTTTGGAACCTGATTCTAATGGGATGGCAGGTGTCTCTATATCGCCAGAGGTCATGCGAAGTGTTAGGTAAGAAAATAAAATACATTTAAAAGCAACCCAGATTAAAAGTTAAGCCTTTAAATAGTGCAGTGAAATTAGAACATTTGGCAAGTGGACTCAGCCTTCCCCTGATGTCATCTTAAAATATAAGGTGATTATTTGACAGAAGAAAAAATAGCACTATTCCTACAAGTATGAACTGTGATAGTGAACACTGTTTGAAATCCAACCTTCAAAATCATTTCAGCATCAGGAAAAAAAAGTTAAGCTCTGGACAGGGCACCAGCACAGGCAAGACTATTAACAACTTACCCCCAAACTTCCATAAAACCTTGGGGAAGGGAAATTAATATACTACCTAGGGAACAAGCCAGTTTCTGTACGATCTAGGAAGTGTTTTACTTACACTATTAATGAAGCATGCCTATGCCTTTGTTTTGTGACACTGCAGAGGAATGCTCCAGTCAGGCTCTGCTTTTAAAATTTCAGAAGCTCATTTCCCAGGAAGAAAAAAAAAACTTCAAAAGTAAGTAAGTGCCAACAACTGCTCTTAGATGAAAGATGATGCTGTTCAAGTGCCAATACAGAGAGGACAAGATTAGGACTGGCACACTATAATTTATTCACCGATAAAGCTCATGGAGGGATTAAATCTTTTGAATCCAAAGTTAAATAAATTACTGTATCTGTTTATATGAGAGGAAGATAAATTGCAGGATGGTGTCCTGAACTCAAACATTTTTAGGACCTGTTCTGCCACTCGTATTCATGTTGAGTAGCACCTTACACTCCATCTTGAAATCAATGGGGTTATTGAGGAATAAGGAAATACTCAATGTGAGTAAGGGAGACAAAACTAGGCCCTTAATTTTTTTAACTACAGGAAAAACGTCAATATTAATAACTGCAAAAGAACATTCTAGTAGTAAGAATGCTACATATAAGGATTAAACTGACTTTCTAAAACGTTGGAAACCATTACACCACCATCAATTCTGCAAATATCTATATATTTAATAAACCAAGGTTGTTTTTTTAATTACCTCCATTTTAGCATTTGACCAGCGAGGCACTTCTACAACCATGTTAAACACTACCTAAAAAGAAAAAAAATTGAAGTATTTAAAATAAAGTTAAGTTGGTGATAAACATTTTGTGTGATAAGTTATTTCTTCCATATCTGACAGCAATATTTGCCGACACTAACAACTCAGGCATTTAATTTTCTAGATGCAACATGTTTACAACACTATGGTTTCTCACAACATTATTCCATCTTCCCCCAATTAGAAGACAGGGTAACCGCTAAGACAGACTTAGAAATCTCCATGATGCTTTTCAGTCTGGTCTATGATACAGCTCTTCACACAATGCTCAATTTGCCTGTGGAACCCATGGCCACAGAATATCATTGAAGCCCACAGCTTAGCAGGATTCAAAAAGGATTGGACATGATCGCCTTCTATGATGAGATTACTGGTTCTGTGGATGAAGGGAAAGCAGTGGATGTATTGTTTCTTGACTTTAGCAAAGCTTTTGACACGGTCTCCCACAGTATTCTTGTCAGCAAGTTAAAGAAGTACGGGCTGGATGAATGCACTATAACGTGGGTAGAAAGTTGGCTAGATTGTCGGGCTCAACGGGTAGTGATCAATGGCTCCATGTCTAGTTGGCAGCCGGTGTCAAGTGGAGTGCCCCAGGGGTCGGTCCTGAGGCCAGTTTTGTTCAATATCTTCATAAATGATCTGGAGAATGGTGTGGATTGCACTCTCAGCAAATTTGCGGATGATACTAAACTGGGAGGAGTGGTAGATAAGCTGGAGGGCAGGGATAGGATACAGAAGGACCTAGACAAATTGGAGGATTGGGCCAAAAGAAATCTGATGAGGTTCAATAAGGATAAGTGCAGGGTCCTGCACTTAGGACGGAAGAACCCAATGCACAGCTACAGACTAGGGACCGAATGGCTAGGCAGCAGTTCTGCGGAAAAGGACCTAGGAGTGACAGTGGACGAGAAGCTGGATACGAGTCAGCAGTGTGCCCTTGTTGCCAAGAAGGCCAATGGCATTTTGGGATGTATAAGTAGGGGCACAGCGAGCAGATCGAGGGACGTGATCGTCCCCCTCTATTCGACATTGGTGAGCCCTCATCTGGAGTACTGTGTCCAGTTTTGGGCCCCACACTACAAGAAGGATGTGGAAAAATTGGAAAGAGTCCAGCGAAGGGCAACAAAAATGATTAGGGATCTGGAACACATGACTTATGAGGAGAGGCTGAGGGAACTGGGATTGTTTAGTCTGCGGAAGAGAAGAATGAGGGGGGATTTGATAGCTACTTTCAACTACCTGAGAGGTGGTTCCAGAGAGGATGGTTCTAGACTATTCTCAGTGGTAGAAGAGGACAGGACAAGGAGTAATGGTCTCAAGTTGCAGTGGGGGAGGTTTAGGTTGGATATTAGGAAAAACTTTTTCACTAGGAGGGTGGTGAAACACTGGAATGCGCTGCCTAGGGAGGTGGTGGAATCTCCTTCCTTAGAAGTTTTTAAGGTCAGGCTTGACAAAGCACTGGATGGGATGATTTAATTGGGGATTGGTCCTGCTTTTGAGCAGGGGGTTGGACTAGATGACCTCCTGAGGTCCCTTCTTCCAACCCTGATATTCTATGATTTTATCTAGATGAAATGGATATTTAAAAATTAAACGGGAGTTTTGGAAGGAATATAAACTCAAGCATAAAGACAGAACAAAATAACCCCCACATACTCTATCAAGACACTACAGTGCAAATGCTTTACCCTCTGGGGAGAGGGTAAGAGAACAAACACCACATGACAGATGCATAGTTACAGTGCTAAATGCACTAGTGGAAGATACTACAGAGATGAGTGTGATATGAGTATCTAAGAACCAACAGAGAACAGAATAGGGCAAAATCTAACCTCTAATTAATGCAGGTTAAGAGGAAATTATCCCTGGGGGCAAGTTATCCCATAATTGTTTACTGCGGGGGTTTCTTGCGCCTTAGTTTAAAGCAGCTGGTACCGGCCGGTGTTGAGCGTAGGATACTGGGCAAAACTGCTCTGCTCCATATGGCAATTCCTGTGTTCCTATGCCTTATTTTCTGTGCGACAAGGTGGGTGAGGTAATATCTTTTATTGAACCAACTTCTGTTTGTGGGAGAGACAAGCTTTCGAGCTTCCCAGAGCTCTTCTTCAGGTCTGGGAAACTAAGGCCAAGTCTACCCTACAAACTTACATTAGTATAACTATGTCACTCAGAGGTGTGAAGAATCCACAACCCTAACTGACAGTTATACCAACCCAAACCCTGGTACAGACAGCGCTACTTTGATGGGAGGGCTTCTCCTGTCAACACAATTACCGGCTCTTGCGGAGGTGGATTAACTATGCCAACGGGAGAAGCTCTCCCATCAGCATAGTATTGTCTTCACTGAAGCTCTGCAGCAGTGCTGCCCCAGAGTTTTAAGTGTAGAATCATAGGACTGGAAGGGACCTCGAGAGGTCATCTAGTCCAGTCCCCTGCACTCAAGGCAGGACTAAGTATTATCCAGACCATCCTTGACAGGAGTTTGTCCAACCTGCTCTTAAAAATCCCCAATGATGGAGATTCCACAACCTCCCTAGGCAATTTATTCCAGTGCTTAACAACCCTGACAGTTAGGAAGTTTTTCCTAATGCCCAACCTAAACCGACCTGGCTGCAAGACCTGTAGGCCTGCCCTATCTCAAAGTGTCACTGCTAAATATAAGGTTTGAACTGATTGTTTAGCATAAGTAGTTAATACATATCTCAAGGGACGATTCAAAGTGAAGTGGTCCATTAACACCCCTCTAGTCATAGGGAGAGAAAGGGTGGAGGGCTGTTAGTGGGTGACAGAGTGTTATAAGAAAGCATAAATCCAGTTTCTCTATTAAGACCATGATTTTTAGTGTCTAAGCTCCCGGGCTTGTCTTTTGAAAGCACTGTGCAGGTTTCTTTTGAGGATGAGGACTGATAGGTCAGGTAGAGAATAATCACTTGGTGAGAAGTGTTCACCCACAGGTGATGTGGTGTTTTTGTCTTTTAATAATTTCCCGTGAGAGTGCATTCATTCTGCGTAACAGAAATGTCAGAAAACAAAGCAACGGCAAAAATAAGAATATTTATTCATGGTGTATTATTGATGATAACATTTCTGTTTACATTAAAGATGCATCACAGTGCTGCTGCTCCACTCAACGACAGACACACCACTCCTTTGTAGAAACTAAGGCGATGTCTACACAGCGCACCTTACAACAGTATGGCCGTGCCGCTGCAGCCACGCCGTTGTACGGTGCGGTGTGCAGCTGCTCTTTATTGCCAGGAGAGAGCTCTCCCGGCGACAAAATAAAACCACCTCCAATGAGGGGTGGCAGTGTCCTCATCAGGAGCGCGGCTCCTGCCGACAAAGCACTGTTCACAACACTGCTTTTAGTGATTCAAACTCTTATTGTTCAGGGGGGTGTTTTTTCACTCCTTTCCCCCCGAGCGACACAAGTTTTAACGACGAAAGCGCTAGTGTAGACAATGCCAAACATGACTTCTTAAAAAGAAAGATGAAATGCTAAACTGACTTCACTGGAAGTCATTGCACCAGGCTTGAATTTGTCCCAGAATGTCACCTTGCCTAGGACCCTAAGAGACACTTCTTACATGAATATAAAAAGTGTGAGAGACATTGCAACATCTTTGGGGACCACATTGTATTGAGTTGAGGAATGTTTTTTGTATTATTGTGGGCCAAGGGTTGTATTCAACTCCTGGGGGATGGCTATGACAGCTTCTCCAGGAAATAAAAACAGTGGGGGTGGTGATTAAGGTGAATCACTCACGTTGTAAACACCTCCAGAAAGATATCTCCCCCCGAGAAGATTTGCATTTACCAGTTCAAACTGCTTTTTCCAGAGACCAACAGACAAAGAAAGGGCTTTTGGTATAAAAAAGGCTGAGTTTAAACTAACACATGGCTTTCTTTCGATTCAGCAAACAGACAGGACCTTGGGTCCTAGGAGAACCCAACCCCTGGAAGGATTGGAAAGACTGACATCTACCAGAGCCCTATGCTGGAGTTGGAGTGACCTTTGATAAGCATGTAGGAACTTCAATTGTTTTTATATGTTTCCTCTGTGATGCTTTTACCTTAAGAATAGCTGTGCTTACTTAGAAAGAGCTGTGGGATAAACTGTAACTGCTGGCAATATGCTCTTCATAGCCTTCAGACAGAAAGCATCATACAGATTCTAGCTGTTAGCCAGACTGGCTTGCTGGGGATATCACAATGAGGTGTGGAAGGACTGCAGGCCTAACCCCCAGTCTGGACGGAGAGACACACAGGTCTCCACACAAGCGAGGTGATTGCTGGGAGCCTAAACCTAAAGTGGGTGCTTAAAGAAGACTGGTTTGTGGGGGAGGGTGTCAAAGGCACAGTTAACCCAGAAACTGACATGAAGTACCGGGATTTTTGCACCTAGTGATCTGCTATATTAATTAACTAACAAATACATTTCCAGAGCTGATACAATAGTCTGATTAACGCCAGCCTCTGCAGTTCCAAATTTGTACCCTCTTCCCCAAATTTGAGAGATGAACTAAAACAAGCAAGAGGGAATCTCAATAGTCACCTCTCACTGATTTTTCCTCAAGGTCACAAGTAATTCACAGTCCTCTCTCAGCCAGAAGATCCCAAAACACATTCTATACTAATTTGTATAACGGTCATGTCCACAATGCCCTGTTCGCATTCATAAGACGGAATCCATCTCCTGAAAAGTCAACAACCTAAGATAATAAGCAAGGAAGAGAGCACAGAGTCCTTAAGCATCATTTCAGTGAGAATATTCCATGGGTAAAGAGCATCTTGAAGAAAGAGAACATAGTTATGAAAGGTTTCAGAGGAACAGCCGTGTTAGTCTGTATTCGCAAAAAGAAAAGGAGTACTTGTGGCACCTTAGAGACTAACCAATTTATTTGAGTTATTTGAATCACCTGATCAAGATCCTCTACAGCTATAGCTCACGAAAGCTCATGCTCAAATAAATTGGTTAGTCTCTAAGGTGCCACAAGTACTCCTTTTCTTTTTATAGTTATGAAAGAAGGGTTCAGAGCTGCCAGCATAGAAGGAGAGATAATAGGGATGGAAGTGTGATAAGAGACAAAAGCAGATAAGGGCAGGATTGCGAGGAGACAATTATGGGTATCGTCTGACAACCATCTCTAACTCTCCCCCAGAACTATTGGGCTTACTGCACAGCATTGCAATCATGGTGGACAGGCTCTCTCAGTTGGGGACAGATAGCAAAACACTATTTAACAGGCCCACTCCAAAAATGCTAAGGCCAATTCTGGTGTGGAGCTCTTAAATAAAATTAAAAAAAATTAAAAAAAAAAAGCTAACAAGACTAAATAATCATTTTGACTTTCATAATTACAACAAGAAAAGGACCTATAAAGTCTTGCTGAAATATTACAGGATAAACTTTTATTGCCACCAGAACCTTATTTTTGTTGTGAACGAGACTGCAGGAGATTTATCCATACACCTGTGTTGTAAATGTGCATTTTCCTGACTGCATCTGTAATTGTGGCTGCTGCAGAATATAGAGATTTTTTTAAAAACTTAAATTCATCAGGAAGTACTTGAGGCCTGCAGTGAGTCAAGGAAGACTCTTAGGGCCAGAACCTCACCTAGCGTAAATTGGTGTAGCACAAATTATTTCAGTGAAGCTACATTGATTTATCACAGACAAGAATCTGGCCCTCAGGATTTCTGATATCGATTGAACACAAATGGTCAAGAGCACTAAATATAACAGCCTAATAGATTAATTCATATGCAAAAACAAATAAAAAGGCCTCTGGAAAGGCTGAGCTGCCCAAGTTTCAGCTGCTGCGGATGTTTACAAGAGTTTAATAGCTTCATGCAATCCTTATGTTTAAAAATAAAAACAGTTTGTTTATGGGACAATCAATTTTTTCCAGGGATGAACCAGAGCCCTTGCCCTGCGTGCAGAGGGTTCATTACGGGATGGTTTTAATCGGGATTAGGGAGGTATGTACAGGAGGATTTGACAGCTGGAGATGAAAGGGAAGAGAGAAAAGGCTGCTTATTCCTCCCTCATATATTCTACGTTGTCTCTTCTCTTTTTGTCCCCTCACTTTCTCTTCTCCATTCTCCTCTCCCTTCCTTTCCTAGATTTCACCCTTGGATCTTCCCAGCATCCCCTCTTATTCTCTCTATCAGACAGACTCAGTCCTGCCTTTCCACCCATGAATATCTCTTGCTTCCACCATCCCTTGTACCTTGCCACAACATGCTGCCCCCCTCTGTTACAGGGGAAGCAAGCGAAAGTACAGATGCCAACCCTGGTCTGATGGGTACCTCCTGTACATGGTGAGCACCCTGTAGGCTCACCCCTGGGAGCAATGCCCCAGACTCCACATGGTGCAGACTCTCATATGTGTGTGTGAGGGGCTTCATGGAGGGCAGGCTGTATGATAGACCTGGATGGAGGTGGTTCCTGAGGTGCATATTTGTTCACACCGCCTACTTACAGTTTCACCAGCTATGTTGGGTGGTGGCTTCTTTGGAAGACCAGTCTGGTGGGGCTTAGGGCAAAAACAGGACAAAACAGTTTTTTGTAACACAGACAAGGACAGCCTATGTTAGCTGGATCCTCACAGTTCTCAGGGACACACAGATTCTCTACTTATATATAAGAACCGAGACTGTATTGTTCATTCACATTAATATAGAGTGCAGTCATTTTTGCTTATGCTCCATTATATACACTAGGAGATGAGAGGGGGAATCAATGGTTGCAAAGTGGAGAAAAGTTAAAGCATTCCATTTTCTAGTTTCTAAAATGCAATATGCCAACAGGAAAAAAACAATTAAAAAATATTTAGTAGTATCCCTTAAATTACAATATTTTGTCTATGACATATAAGAGCAACCCATAGCCAAAGAAGCAGTTTCAGGAAGGGCAGAAGGAGGAGGAAAGAGGGCTGCAAATAGTTTACTTGAAGAAATCTGTTTTTGGCTCCTTTCCTGGACCACCTCCCTACAAGCTGCCCTCTGGCTTGAAGTGTCCCTTCTGACAAACAACCCTCTTCCTCTCTTGGTAAATCATCCTTTCCCTGCTGAGCTGCTCACTTCCTTCCCCAGTCCTCTGAGCTCCTGATCATGTGAGGTCAGTGGCTGTGGGGCAGGGATTAGAACCTATTTTGAATGGGGGGGAGGGGGTGAAGAAATTTGATTTTTGCCTAGGGGGATGGGAAGTTGAGAGTTTAGGGGCTGCTGTGGAACTTTTTAAGGGATAAACCAATTTTGAGTAGAAGAGGAAGCAGAATGCAGGGCAGCCTGTGCCGAGAATGAGGAAGAGAACAAAACTGATAGGAAGAGGAGGAGATAAAATGAGGAACAAAAAGGATGGTGAGTTTTCCCAGAAAAAGTCTGGAGTAACTCTAGCACTTGTACAGCAATGTGCTTTTGGAAAATATAATTTAAAAAAAAAAAAAAGCATTCTGGACCTGCTGACATACCTCTCTTAAGCTTTGTAACATGACAAGGGCAAAGATAGAAGACAACAGCTCTACTTCAACTACTTCTCTTCCGTAACTATTTAACGCAGCTGCTGCTCATTTGTGATTTTACCAACTCTCATCACAGGCCGTACATTCATAAGTGGCAGCCTGAGCCGAAGTTCTAAGGGAGAGTGAACAGAGCAAGCCACAGCCCAGTGCCTTTAACTACAGAAGAGAAAAGAGATGAAAAGAATATATGGAGATATGCTTACTATGGACTTGTTCACAATATGAGCCCCATCCTCAATGTATCACTTGCTATGAGGTGCTGGCCAATGAAAATCAAACCAACAATCTCCAGCTATATCTAGAGATCAAACATTCTGGCCTGAAAGACAAGCCTCTGGAGTTTTTCCAGTATAACTTGACAAAGCTAAATGGCCAAAAAAGTACAATGTCCACTCTGAAGTCAACAAGCAGACATTTCATCTTGCGAGTCTTTGCACTGAAAAGCAAAGGGGAGTCTGATAGCACAAGGGAAGAGTTTTTACTTCAAGCTCACTGTACCAAGAATTGGTTTCAGTGATGTTCAGTGACAAGATAAGCAAGTAACTGGACACTTTAGAGTTGTGAAAAGATCCAGGACCAAGAAGAATCTCTGCCACTGGTGAAAATGTAGCATCAATCTTCTCAAGCTTGAAGCAACTATTTATTTGCAATTAAGTCTTATTAATTCACTGCTGTGGCTTCCTTGGCAAACTCTCTCTCCTAGGTTAGATATTTATCTGGTGGCGGAGTGCAAGACAACTTCATTTGTTCTCAGTCTCTGCTAACCTGCCCAACTGCAGGGGAAGTTTTTCAAATATCGTATGGAAAGCGTTCTTGAGTGGGAACATTGTGATGGTCTCCACAAATGGAGCACAAGCAATGACTTGGCAGCACTTATAACTGCTTTGTAGCTCCAATGGCTCCTTGTATAGTCCAGGAGGCCCTAATCACAAGGAAATCACCAGCACATCTGAAAAACATAAAGAATGCTGCTGGGAAGACAGTTAACTTCCTTAGAGCTTATCCCATGATTTCTAATGTTTTTGCTGTACTGAGTGATCAATGCTGCCAAGTTCCTCCTTCACACTGGTATGTCTTGGCTTTATCATGAGAAAGCACCGATACACCTTTTTGAACTCCCTCCCGAAGTGCCTGTCTCTCTGTCAAGTCACTCACAAACAAAACATCAAAGGCACATACAATGATGAGCTGGTTAGAAGCCCTTTCAGTGCAGCTGGGAGCAACATTTCAGATTCGTCTTTCAAAGACAAGTATGGCTTCTAGGAACTTGCCCGCAACAAGACACTAAGGGTATGCCTACACTTCAATCAGACAACCCCAGCTGGCCCAGGCTAGCTGACTTGTCACGGAGTTCTAGAGCCCAAACATCTACACTGCAATTAAACAGCCCCTTAGCCCAAGCCCTGTTAACCTGAGCCACCTGGCACAGGCTGCCATGGGGTTTTTAACTGCAGTGTAGATATACGCTGAAGACCACAGAACCAGCCCCGGACAGAATTGTGACTGCAACTATAGGAAGAATATCCAGCATTCACGTTGGAGATTTGAAACTTTTGATGCTTTTCACATCTACTTACCTGGGCGAGAGTGAATTTTCAGTGCTTGTAGTACTTAAAACAAAGCACAGGTTCAGATTACAAAATGGTAATGATCTGAGACAAAAGGTAATTATCTCCCCTAACATCTGGAAAGCAGCCATACCCAACTCGTTAAGTAGTTCAAATATATAAATAGTTTCTTTATTCTCTTTTCCATGCTAGCAATTACAGTAGTTACACAGGGTTGACGTGACTGCAAATCTGAGAGTAAATCAGAGTTTGGAAAGGGAGATGGCCCACGATATGGCCTCACTACTATATGGCCCATAATATGGCCTCACTACTACTACAAGATGCCCCATACCAAGGAAAAGGTGGGGAAACCTTTTATTAGAACAAACCAAAGCAAGCTGATCTTGCAAACTGCTAAGATGTATGTCCCTACTTCAGTGAAGAACTGAATTAAGTACATCAAAAGACAGATCAATATTTTGTAGTCCCCTTTTCAATATCACAAGTGCTCAGAACAATTTTAAATAAATCTGATAAACTGAGGCGACTTATGCCAAATTACTTCTATTTTCTATATCTAAACTGACATTGGATATACATGATTTACCAAAGAAACACTTGGCTAGTATAATTTAACATATGCTTTTAGGAGGCACCATACTGCTGGAAATGCCAACAAATAAGCAAGATCCTGAGCACATGTGGTTATTAAAAAAAGCTATGCCACTTTTCATGGGATTAAGAAAGGTATCCAGTTTGGTTATCTACTGTACAATTTGCATCCATAATGTCTCTTGCCTTTTCAGCTGAGTATAGTATTCCTGTCCTGAACTGCTGTGTAATATTAGTGGGTGATGTTAAAAAGTTTCTATGCTTCATCCTAGACATGGCTATGTTTTAAAAAGGTGAGCAAAGTAATTCTTTTATTTCTATCTATCTCTGAGTGAGTGAATTACACGCTCAGATTTTGTAATATACCCACTTTTGTGAAGCATTTTGGGATCCTTTTGGATGAAAGAAAACATATGTAAGATATTGCAAAAACAATACTCAATGAAGTTAAACGTCTAAATAAGCACTATATTAGACTGATCCTGCAAGGACATCTGTAGCATCAGGGCTATAGACAGCACATAGCAAACGATGTTGTTTTAGTCAAGTTTAAAAAAATTTCCACTAAATGAGAAAAATATTAACATATAAATATTAACGTTACAGCTCAGAAGTTTCATATAGTTTTAACCATTTTTTAGATTAGGCTCTGCAAGATGATCAGGATCAGATATTGTCACACACTGCTCATACAGATAAGAAACAGAATACATGACTGCATGCTAGAGTTATAATTCACAGCATATGCCATGTGAGTGCATGCCTCATCACCCATTTTCAGCAGCCATATAGCTCCTCCTTACATTTTATCTTTTATTCGCGTTTATAAATGACTGTGCACCTACTTAAATAATTCTTAAGTCAGCATTAGAAAAAAGCCTGAAATCTAAATAGTACATATAACTGGTGTTTATGGGTTAAATGAATTATGAGTGAGAGAGAATTAAGGTGTATGTGTGAGTCGATGGATGTGTGAGGATGGTACACAGGACCACACCAGTGGCAGGAAATAATATTTCAAATGCTGCTAGAAACCAAACCATCAGAGTGGCTCTGTCGAGTTAAAATGCCATTTATCGGTATTTGAAATACAATTGATTGGTCACAGAGATACTGCCTAATAATTGCTGGTTATTCAGAACATATTTCGGTGCCTAAATAGGGATTAAAGAGCCCATCTTTAAGAACCCATGTTTGAAAATCTGGGCCTTAAAATGTGACTTGTTTCTCTCGCATTCTACTCTACTTAAAGTGATTCCATGCCCCTGCTTAGGTCCCAAGACAAGGTTTACTAGAAACTATACAATTAAAAGAAGACTCCTGCACAAACATTCACACAAACCAACCTTGGGTACTCGTTCTCTCTCTAACCAGCACCAATTCTGAGCACCCGCACAGGGCACTTTCCTCGACTGTGCACATCTGCACATCCCAGAAAAGCACATGCCTTCAGTCCAAAACACAGCTGGAAAGTCTGGGTTTTGGCCCATCATACTTAATATCCCTTTAACGCAGTAGTTTTCAACCTGTGGTCTGCAGACCCTTGGGGGGTCCGCACACTATGTCTGTGATTTTCAAAGGGGTCTTTACCTCCATTAGAAACTTTCTAGGGGTCCACAAATGAAAAAAGAGGTTGAAAACCACTGCTTTAACAGAAAAGATTTCTAATTGTTTTTATTTTACTCTGCAGTCAGAGCAGCTAGTGAATCTTTTACTAAGAGAGTTTACTTGAGCAGGCTTCTGTATGTAATAGGAGAAAATACAATGTATCAACTTTACAACTGTCAGAAGGAAGCTTCTACTGAAAAATATAAAAACACTTGCATTTTAGAACATTTTGATTAATAAATAAAAACTGACTTTTTTTGCCCATTTGATCAGGAGATTTAAAATCCCTTTGAGGTCCCTCGTCCCATGGCATTTGTATTTGAAGGTTTATCAGTTGTATTCAGTGAAAGATGCATGGTACTGAACAGCTCTCATTTTGCCCACCATGATTGAAAGCCCCATTCTAATGTGTCCATTACAACTAGAGCACAGCAAAATTACATTTCATGAAAAATAATTTCTAACTGTACCTCACTTCCATTAGTCTTTGATCTCTTCGCAGGAACCTCCTTATCCTATACAGAAAAAAAAAATTAGCATTTAGAACTCTCACTTACGGGAGTCGAATCCAAAATATATTCATGTTAGAGAAAAGAATACCACGGTGTCTGTATAAATAACTACTACACTGTAGATTCTACACAGACTATATTAGTAGTTTTTAAAAGGGCTTGAAAAATCCACTCATGAGTGGCAAGCTAGTCCTTGAGAATATGGGGAGGAGGACCTAAGCCATCAATTTCTCTATAACTGTAACTTTCATTTTAAAAACATTTAAATTTCCTAATGGTTGTAAGGCTATAACCTCCCAAATGTGAACTGATGCATTTTCATCTTCCTGAATCAGAAATGGACAAATCTCCTTTCTTTGTCAAGCACCAGCTGAGTGAAATTAAGACCGGTCAGTTTCAGTGCTGCTTGACAGATCCCTGTAGACAGCCACAAAACTGTTATGCACCAGGTCAGTTTCATTCTGCTGCTGCTGATTGCAAAGGCTGTGAACTGCATTATAAACAGCAGCAGGCATTGGAGTTATTCACAAGCGAGGAGGACCCTAAAGACAGAGGCTGGAGGAGAGGAAGAGTAGCAGAGGCCTCTTCATCCTCCAGTCCCCTTGCAGCATCTAGGAGACTGGGAGAGAGATCAAAGTAGTGAAGACCCATTCTCTGCCAGCAGCCTGGAGGCTCTGGAGGGACAGAAGAAACAGAAATTTTTTCCCTTGTCCAGCAGCCAGAATGGGAGGATCTTCAAATTAATCAGACATCCGCTTGCCAGAGGCAAGTTTAAAAGAAGACTGAAAGGAGGATGCAGGGAGAGCATCCTAGTGAAACGCCAGCACCCTCCTCCCTCCCAGCAGCTAAAGATGCTAAGAGGTGCTAGTAAAGTTAGGGCCCCTGGACCTTCCTTGGAAGGCCTTCCAACTCTTGTCTTTCTCATCAACCTCTCACCAGCAAGTTTAGTCCTCCCTCACAAAGGCATCAGGTACACTTTTCAAGCTCTGGTTTTAAATGATTAAACAGAATGATATTGATGTAGCATTTATCTGTTTAGAAAAACCCCTCTGGGCACATGATAGAGTTGCAGATTTTTCTCAGTGTTCCAGCCTACAAATCAACCGAACAGTTGAGGCAACAAACCTTAAAGGCTGAAAATTTCCCAAACTATTTTGTTTTTGAGTATGCCACAATAAGCAAACCTCTTCTCAGACTAAACTGAAGGCTGGCAGTTTTCACAGATGACGTAGAAAACAGGCATTTCACTATAGCAATAATGAAACTCCAGGGAACGTGGCTAACAATACATGAAAGTGCTTGGTTGCACCTCATGCCTTGTAATTCTCCAAAGGTGCGATTACCACTCCTCTCTTGGGCATTATTGCTGCCTTCAAATTACAGCACGCCTTTTGGGAATTAAAGAAATATACCATTCACATAAATATGTATTGTGTAAGCCTCTTCCGCTGCAAAACTGCTGGTACTATAGAAAAATAGCAATTTACATGGGTTTGGTGAAACACAAAGAGACTTAGGAATAGTAACAGTAGAAACTGTATTCTAGATTAGTGCACATAAGCACAGAATTTTAACACTTTACCAAAAGATATGGTGGACTTATCATTTGAAGTCTTTAAATCAAAACTGCATATCTTTCAAACACACACACTCCAGTTCCACCACAAATTAAACTCAACACAGGAATTACTGGGTGAAATTCTACAGTCTGTACTATAGAGGAAGTCAGACAAGATCATAAAGGTCCCTTCAGGTCCTAAAATATATTAATTTATTTTAGTAATTGCTAAAAATAAAACAAGATTTCTATTGAAAAGAAAAATCCACCTGCTTTTGACCATTAGAGAACACAACATCCATCATTTCAAGAAATAATAACTGCGTTTGAGTCTAACATATACCTCTTTAGATCCAGCAAACAGAGGAATGTCATGAAACGGGGAAATATATTTACCCTCCGCATTCTCTGCGAGACAAAAAAAGTGTTACAAATCTAAACCAAACATGCTGAAAGATGTCCACATTACTAATAAATATGTCCCTATTGCTTCCATCATTTCAGACAGACAAGGGTCTATGGGTATTTTAAATTGAAACACTGCTTGGCCAGGGGATTTATGTTGTAACAAAGCCTTTTCTGGAGTCAAACTCCAAATTTTACAATAAAACGGTCAATTTAAGGGACAAACCAAAATCAGAACTTTCAGCTTTGGCAGCTATACTGTGCCCTTCTTTCCTCTCTTTAGCCTGCTCATTCCTTTGAGCCTAACTGGCAAAATGAACTATGTAAAGATGTCAATAACCTTGTATTTTTTCCTACACAGAGCCACTAATGGAGAGGAAATGTCATAAGACATGTATAGAGAAAACCAGTTCCTAGGTTACCTAGGATTTTAGTCATACTTCAAGTTTCTTTTTCAGCAGCTAATAATTTCTTCATGATCAAGATATTTTTTAAAACAAAAATTTCAGATAGCAGCTAAAATACTGCAGCTATTAAAACTTTACAGTATTCCCTTAGCATGGCTTGTCATTTCAAATAAACTGAATTTCATATCAATAAAGCAAACATTCACCGCTAAACAGCTTATACCAATTCTGACCAGCAATATACATTAGTTAAACCTTAACTGCTCAGACATTTTGTTTTAAAAGGAACAATGACAGACTCTAGGGTTTCAGAGTACACTCTAGGGTACAATTCTGGCCTCACTGATGTCCATGGCAAAATTCTAATGGGCTTCCATGAGGCCTTTCCCCCTCTCTTCTCACATGCAAGCAGACTTCTAAGTAGACAGGAGGAGTGCCCAAACTTTGTCTAATTCAGGGACACATTTTGAGCTTGCCAAGAGCTCAATGACTGAGCCAAATTTGCAAAAAAAACCAGAGCAGTCAATAGAAAGATGCAAGTCTTAGAGGCCACAAATTCCAGCACCCACTGCTCCCTCCTGATCAGGTGGCATTATTCATATTAAAAGAGTGTGTGGACATGGGCCCTCTTTGGCCTATGGACTGCACTACATCTACCCCTGAAACACAGAAACAATTGTTATGCAAACGTTGTACAAATATGGTGTTACATTCCAGGAAATAAAAGATAAAGTTTAGCTATAGGTAGGGCCCTACCAAATTCATAGCCATGAAAAATGCATCACAGACCATGAAATCTGGTCTCCCCCAGCAAAAACTGGTCTTTTGTGTGCTTTTACCCTATACTGTACAGATTGCACAGGGAGGTCAAACTGGGGGTCCTAACCCAACAGGGAGTTGCAGAGGGTCACCAGCATATTTTAGGGGGGTTGCGGTATTGCTACCCTTACTTGTGCGATGCCTTCAGAACTGGGCGGCTGGAAGAGCAGTGGCTGTTGGCCGGGCGCCCAGCTGTGAAGCCAGCGCCCTGGCAGCAGCAGCGCAGAAGTAAGAGTGGCAATACCATACCATGTCACCCTTACTTCTGCGCTGCTGCCTTCAGAGCTGGACGGCTGGAGAGTGGCGGTGGCTGACTGAGGGCCCAGCACTGCAGGAAGCAGCATAGAAGTCTGGGTAGCAATACCATACCGTGCCATCCTTGCTTCTGCTAATGGCGGCTGTACCTCGAGAGTGGGGCTCCCATCCAGGTGCTGCCACTCTCCAGGTGCCCAGCTCCAAAGGCAGGGCCACTGCCAGCAGCAGCGCAGAAGTAACAGTACCGCAATCCCCCCTACAATAACCTTTCAACCCCCTTCCCTCACCAACTCCTTTTGGAGTCAGGACCCCTACAATTACAACACCATGAAATTTCAGATTTAAATAGCTAAAACCATGAAATTTACGATTTTTTAAATCCTCTGTTAAATTAACCAAAATGGACAGTGAATTTGGCAGGGCCCTAGTCATAGGCCACTATTCAAACTGAAGTGACAGTCACTAGATCAAGCCTATTGCACCCAACCTCTAGTGGAGTCAGCATGACAGATTTCTGACAGGGTGCAACTGACCATTTACATCTGTCCATTTCTCTCACAGCAATGTAAATCAGAAGTGACTCCATTGAACGTAATGGAATCATAATGGTATAAAAATCAGTGTGAAGAGCAAAATCAGAAAGTGGCTTTTTAAAAATCTTCATAACTATTAGAAAAAGGTAGTGTGAAATTGAAACTAAACACACCAGCTTTTTGTTTGCAATGTTGGTGTAATCATGTTGTCCCAGGGCCTTAGAGACACAAGGTGGGTGAGGCAAAAGAAGCTGGTCCAAGAAAAGATATTTCCCCTCCACATGTCACACGAGGTTTTTCTGTATTGACTTATGTCTTAGAGCTTCGTTCATACTTTCATACATGCTGACTGCTCAGTGGGCCGTCAGTAAAATAGATGTTCTCATTTCAAATGCAAATTTCCCTTTACTAGGAGCATATTTGGAGCAGTCATTATTGCATCAGGAGAGTAGACTCACCACTGTTATTCCTGCTAAAGTAATGAAACTCATGCACCACTTTAAAAGTTTCCTACACTTTTTTTTTTTATATTTGTAATGGTCTTCTCTTCTGGCTTGTGTGTTTTGCCCCTTAGGGGGGGCTGCTGGCGGCTGAAAGGCCCTCCCTGCCACAAGTCTCACCCAGTGGGTCGCAAGAAACTTCTTCATACTGGATTAAGTTTAGGGTGCTTTTTTTAAGGTCACCCTCTGGGGAGACAAGCCCTCAGCTCTTTCTCTGGGACATTCAAATTCCCTGCAGGGCTGGAGACAGAGCCCTCAGCATAAGCCTAGGAGGGGCTAATGCATCTAGCCACATCCTAGTCTTTATTCACTTGTAGCAAAAGCCTGTAGGTTCCACCCCAATGCTCCAGCGCCCCCCGGGGGACACAGCCACAGGGGGTGCCTATGTTAACGCCCCCGGCCAAGTTTCCTAGTTAAGCTCTAAGGCATGTCCTGGGCGAGGGGGGGAGGGAGACCCTGGCTTTCTCCATTCACCCTCTTTAAGGAGCGGCCCCCAATTACGGCTGGCAGGGGGCAGCGCCCCTGAGCTCTCCGCCGGGCGCAGAACGCAGCGCCGCCCCGCGTTCCACCGCGCCCCCCGCAGCTCCCCGGCCACAGGCGGCGGCGCCTGGAGCCCCTGCGGGGCTGCTACTCACTAAAGTAGAGGCGGTACTCGGGCGAGTGGGGCCGCCCCCGCGGCTCCGTGCCGAACTGGGCCATGGTGCTGAGCCAGCCGCGGCGCGGCAGCGGCCGCACCAGCCGCCTCCTCCTTCCCGCTCCGGCGTAGCAGCAGCTCCGAGCCGGGAGCAGCGGCAGCAGCCCCCGCCAGGCCCGCCCGAGCGCCGCACGCATGCTTGGGCCTGCCACGGCTCCCTCCGCGTCCTGCGCCCGCCCGGCGGGGGAGCGGAGAGTCTGAGCATGCTCGGTGGCCGCCGCTCAAGCCGCTGCCCTGGCTGGCTCTGCCACGCCCCGGTGCAAAAGCGGGGTGCGGAGGGGAAGCCGGAGGGGCAGGGAGGGGGCAGAAACAGGGGCAGCCGGCGTGAGGCGTGGGAGCCAGGTCTCTCCCGCCCTAGGAGCCGTCAGCTAGGAATGTGCGAACGGCAGGAGGGCCTCCCCCCCGCCGACACCTGTCGGAGGGGCTTGGGGGGCAGATCGCGTACCCCACATGGTCAGCCCCAAGCGTGCCCCGTTTTTGAGTAGGCCCCTCCCCAAAATCATGAGATTGGCTTAAAAACAAGGCGATAAACGGGGAGTTTTTAGTTGCTTTCTTGCTCTTGTGCCTTCGGAGTATCGAACTTCCGATTTCAAGCCCCCGACACGGCTCCTCTTCCGAGGGAAAGCCCAGGCGCTCGCGCACCCACGTGACGGCGGGGCGGCGCGGGGCGTTCTAAGAACGCCACTGAATAGTGCAAACCTCGCAGCTAGTGCGTGACTCATGAGACTTGCAAACACTGTTGATCTAGGTCAATGTCTATCTCGCTAATTTCTATAAAAAAAAAAAAACAACTGGATATAACTGGCCACTAGAGAGGTGATTCAATGTCTCCCTCCCACCTCTTCCTTGAAGGGTCAAACATTTTCATACATGATGATGCTATGTTTTGACAAAATGCCTGGCCAACTTCATCAGTTTCAAGGACGGGGAGAAAAGAACAGGAAACAAAAGAACAAACAAACAAAAATAAAAAAAAATCCCTACTAAATATAGAATGAAGGCACAAAACTGGGGTGAGAAGTCAGAGTTTGTCAGAAGTTGGAGCCCATAGGTAGACTAGGCTAAGGAAGAAATAGCGTCTTTCTTTTAATTGGAAGTAAAATATTAGACAGTAACTCCCCCCTTAACGTCCTCTCGCTTAACATTGTTTCAATAGTATGTCCCTGCTCAGTTACAGAACAGGCTCCATTTAAAGATGTGCAATGCTGCGCTATAATGTCCTTTGGCTGCCTGCTTTGTCCACAGCTGGCAGCCCCCCCATCAGCTCTTATGCTCCGTCCCGCCCCCGGCAGACCCCGCAGATCAGCGCCTTCCCCCTCCTCCCCTCGCCAGTTAGCTGGCTTGCAGCATTCAGGACGGATGGGGGAGAAGCAAGGACTCAGCGTGCAGGCTCCCACTCTCTACCCTGCCTCCTGCCTGCGACAACCTGATGGTTTCCCAGACTCTTTGTTTTCTGCTCTATGTTGTGGTTCATACCTTAAAAGCAACAGGCCCTGTCTGTTCTATATGGACACTAAAGATTCCATGGTACTTTTTGTAAGAATAAGGATTTTCCCAATGGCCATGTCCAATATTTCCTACTGTTATGCAGTAGTATGCTAATTAGCTGCTACCCTACACCTGGCAGTATTTTAGTAGTGTCTTATTTACCGTTTGTAGTATGCAAAAACTTCTTGGAATTTTTCCTGGCAAAAAGGGCTATGCAGAAATAAAATATTGTATTTCTCTGTGATTTTTCGTGATCATTTGCTAAGTATATTACAACAGAGTCTTCACAATAACATGGAGGCTGTATTGCAGACCAAGGGACATTCATCTCCATCTCCATAAAAGCTGCTAAATCATACCCTGTATTTCATAGCAGGCCAGCAACATGAGTTGCAAGGAGTTGGCATCTTTCTTCACTGAGATCAGCAGACCTCCTCTTTTCAGTCACAGCTCAGCTATAACTTTCTGAAACGTTTACATTTGAGGACTGAAACTCTCCATGTGTAGTCTCTACTTGGAGCTCATTTATTTTTAAAGTTTAGGAAAAAAACATTTCTACAGTTTTTCAAATGTGAAGAGAGCGAAAAAATATAGACTTCTCCCATTGTAAAAAAGTCTTGTAAACTTTCTTTGATTAGGCCTACAGCTGAAGTTGAACGCTAACATGTCATGGAAATAACTCTCACTAGGAAGTTCTTTCACTTGCAAAGGATGCTGGATTATATTTGACCAGTTTAGGAGCCTTTGAAAGTCACTTACTGAGCACAGGCAGTTTTTTGCTAAACTTGTAAAGTTGACTGCTAAGGGAGGATCTCAGGACATATCATTCTGCTTGCCTAACTTAGCTATGTAGTGAAATACAAAGCTGTGAATTGTTACCAATGCCTGGGGCTGGAGGAAGGGCCTTGTAAGATGCATAAATAAGGGTGGGTTTTTGTGCACTTTGTAAGGTAAGCATGGTGTTATCTAGGGACTCATCTTGTAATGTGCAGTCAGCTGCAAGCTTACAACAAAATGTAGAGGGGTTCCAGGTTGTGCATAGTACCCTGCCTACATTGTCAGGGTAGGCAGGGACAAGACTATTTTATGTTCTCTTATGTACCTAGCACACTTTAGGTGCTATAGAAATAATAATAAAGCTCCCAATAGACTTCCTATACATATATGTTAGTATTGTTAAAGTTATACACAAGATTCCTAAAGTCATATTTAGGTAAGGAACCGCCTCATTATTAGAATGAAGTTTCCAGCTGTTCTATGAGATTTTGTATCCTTAATGCAAAAGGGAGTGTCGGTTCTGCACTATATACTAAGCAAATGCTTTGGATGTATTGAAGTACTTAAAAAAAGTAATTTCTTCTGAAATAACTTTCACCTAATTTTTATGCACACAATTTTTCTTAGGAGGGAATGTCTACACCTGGAGCTCGAAGTGTAATTTTTAGCTCAAGGAATTTCCTGGGAGGGTACTAAAAATAGAGTGGTTTCAAAGTAGCAGCTGTGTTAGTCTGTATCCACAAAAAGAACAGGAGTACTTGTGGCACCTTAGAGACTAACAAATTTATTTGAGCATAAGTTTTCGTGGGCTACAGCCCACTTCATCGGATGCATGCAGTTTTTTGTTGTAATATTGCGACTTTTAGGTCTGTAATCAAGTGACCAGAGAGATTGAAGTGTTCTCTGACTAGTTTTTGAATGTTATAATTCTTGAAGTCTGATTTGTGTCCATTTATTCTTTTACGTAGAGACTATCGCAATATTACAACAAAAAAACTTCAAAACCAGACTCCAATGAGAGACTGCTGAATTGGAATTAATTTGCAAACTGGACACCATTAAATTAGGCTTGAATAAAGACTGGGAGTAGATGTGTCATTACACAAAGTAAAACTATTTCCCCATGTTTATTTTTCCCCCCTACTGTTCCTCACAGGTTCTTGTCAACTGCTGGAAATGGCCCGTCTTGATCATCACTACAAAAGGTTTTTTTTTCTCTCCCGCTGGTAATAGTTCACCTTAACTGATCACTCTCCTTACAGTGTGTATGGTAACTCCCATTGTTTCATGTTCTCTGTGTATATAAAATCATTCCACTGTATTTTCCACTGTATGCATCCGATGAAGTGAGCTGTAGCCCACAAAAGCTTATGCTCAAATAAATTTGTTAGTCTCTAAGGTGACACAAATCCTCCTGTTCTTTTTAAAAATAGAGTGTAGCTGCAGCAGTGGGCGGGGTTAGCGGTCCCAAGTATGTACCTAGTGTCATGGACAGGTATGTACAGTACTTGGGGTAGCTAGCCCCTCCTACTGCTGCACCAACACTAGTTTTAGGGCGCTTGATTAGAGCTATCATAGGTATGTCTCTCCTCAAGCTGGAATTTTTATCTCCAGCTTGAAGTGCAGACATATCCAAAATCTTAAAGGCTTTGCTTCATAGGTGCGGGAACTACAGGTGCGGAGGGTGCTGCAGCACTTCCCAACTTGAAGTGGTTTCCATTATATACAGGATTTACAGTTTAGTTCAATGGCTGCCAGTACCTCCACTATAAAAATTGTTCCAGCACCCCTGCATTGCTCTGATTACTGCAGGTTAAAATCATTCTGTACAGGGGTCCAGCACAAGGCCTATTCAGCACTTAAGCCCTATTTACAGAGCTCAAGCTGACTCCTACTGAAATTACTGAAAGTGTTGCCATTTATCTCAAAGGGAGCAGAATCCAGTCCACAAGACTTACAGGGACTTACGTGGTTCAGAAGGCTTTATGCTTGTCCTAAGCACAGACGGGTGAATTTTACTCTTCCAGAAAGTCACTGGAGCAAAGCAAAACTTCTCCAGCTTTATAATCACCTAACTCTGAAGGACGTCTTTGCTTTGAGTTTATATACTGCAGTCATGTTTTTTCTTTTGTATTTTACAACAATACTATCAATACATTTTTCCCATGAACGTTTTTTATCAGCTATCATGGCAATCAATTTCAATACTGAAAAAACATTTTGAAACATTTTATCACTAAAAAATCCCAAACACCACTCAGTGTCCCATTTTACCTTCCTTCTGGAGAAAATCATTGTTTTTATCTTTTCAGCTAATAAAAGCATTTCATTAATATGTTACGTGCTCGTCCAGTGCTTTTGCTCTCAACTTGCAATCACACTGTCATCAAGATTCAGTGTAATGCTACTTCCATCTACAAGGCTGACAAGACCATTAACTATTACAGACCAGATTCAGCCATTCTTGCACTTCCTGAGTGAAACTCACCCCTGTGTGGAAAGGGGCTGGCACAAGACCCAAGCATCACTTTGTCCCGTTCAAACTAGGGTTTAAATTTCACCTATTGATTTGTGATACTACCTTGTAGCAATAAGAAATTCTGTCATTAATTAAAGGGGGCAAAGTCTACAGCAAGTAGAGTTGAGTTTATTTTATTATGTTCTTTTAGGGGCTCTAATTCTAATAGTTCAATACCTGCAATATTTGGAAACTTGTTTAATTTAAATAGATAATAGATACGATTTTGTTTATTTATATTGCAGCAGTGCCTTGAGGTCCCATTTTCTTCTCTTGATTTGTGAAGTTTTCAGACATGAAAACCTCACATCATTTTAATACAAACTTTCTATGCCTTTGGTGAAATTTTACACCTTTATTTTATTTATTTTTTAATTCGGGATTTGTCCCCCTGTATCTTTCCCTGGCTCAT